AGAGGTCGAATGTGCGCGAAGATCTAGGTCCAGGGATCCTGGCACAGTTGAGGCGCTTGATGAGGTGGCGGCTGGTACGTAGTCTACGCCACATCCCTCCTCCCTGGATGAATCGCCCGAAGTCACCTTTAAGAGATGTGCAAATAATGTGTCACAATGGCATACGACTTTTTTACCTCACACATTATTTACATTATGATGAGAGTTGATTAAGGGTGCGCATTTACGGGTAGTTCCCACGACTTTGCCACTCGCACTGATCTTTTTTTCGTGCCAGCATCCGGGGCGCCACACGTCCGGGTATAGCCACGCGGGCCTTGACTAAAGGCCAGAGTAGTACATACAGGACCTGGGTCCCCCATTATAAAACCCAAAACACGGTACAGTCTAGATGCAGGCCAGTAAATTGATGTTCAGATCTTTCGTACAACTACTACTACTACGGTGCGTCAAGATACAAGTGTGTACACTGTACAGTGAACTTTAGGGGCCTGCAGCTTTACGGTGTAAACTGCACCTTTTGTGAACGCCACAAAGTTGACCACAGCTTACGGTCTGACCTATTTACATGTAACTTACCTTTCTCATCATGACAATCTTCAAATCACTTCTGTGTGGTTGCCTACCAACGAACAAGGCTGCTACTAGGTTGGTTCTCTCATCTTTTGTCTCCTCACCTATCCCGTCATGCAACTCGCTTCCTTCTGTTGGTTCTGATCGATGGGGATCGGATTCTGTGGCTTTAGGGTACCATCTCTTCATGTAGCAAGGTACACAATCCACTCTGTCCCAATATGAAAGACAATTCTTTTCTTCTGTTTGAAAGATGCAGTCAAGCTCGATTAATTTATCTTTTAAGCTTCGACCCTTAGACGCACTATCAGGCAAGGGTACGGCAGGATATATATCGTTAGTACTGTTTGCTAGTCTCTCCCGCACCTCCACTGATGCCCGAACGGACTCGGAGAGCATGCGTTGGTCCCGGAGAGTGAGAGCGATATCGAGGTCTTCCCGGTCGGATTCTGTCAGAAGACGGAGCGGTCTGTCGCTCAGGGTCTCCCGCGCATTCGGGCAGACCCGGAGCCGGCTCCACTCCATCTTACATTGCACAACGCTGGCCGGGCACCGGCGAAGATGGCTGCGCATCTGTGATCTCCGCACGCGGGTCGGGCAGCCGTAGCCCGCGTTGGGGCAGGCGGCGGGCTGGTTCCGGCACAGCGCGAGGTGGTCGTGTTGCTTGCAGGCGTGGAACCTGGCCCCGCATTCCAGCTCGCAGTGCACCATCATGCACGCCGTCAGATCCGTACAACACCTAATGTTATAGCAGGACCTGCAGTGGCTGTGTTGCTCCATTTTTCTGAAATGAGAGAAGATCCAAAAATGTCTCTAGTCATTATAGGATAGTTAAATAAATGCATTTTGAAAACAAAACAGAACGTAATTCAAAGCATCCACTGCTTTAATATGATCACAAGTACACGAATAGTTATGCAAATATAGGCCTATATATTAAATATACATATATATACAGTTGTACAAAAACAGAATTCGAAATTAACGTTTCTAAACGTTCTTAACGTTTCTAATTTTGCTTAATACTCATTCCAGTGTCTTGTTTTGTGGTCACAGACGGTGGCAAGCCTGACGTTACAAGTTAGTACACCCATGGCCATGGTACAACAACTTGAACAAGCTTTTGGGCATGTGCTCAATTTGAAACGCAAAACAATGATTTAGAAAATACGCTAAAAGTGTAGGCCGACTTTTAGTTTCATAAACTTACCAAATTAACGATCTTTACCTAAATTCTATCCGCGTAAATTCCGAAGTTCCCTGGGCCTATTCGTTTTGATGTTTACTTCTCGCCGCTTCTTCATGCATGAATATACGCACGCCCGATGCATAATGTCAGTATGCGCTGCAAGGCCGACAGTGCCAGCAAATTTACAAGTTCAAAGTGCGGCCACCAAAATGGACCTTGGCCTTTGATAAAAAAATGCTAGTCTTTGTTCAAGACGACGCTGGTGCGACAGTGCGCGAACTTGGGCCTGGGGGGAGGGTCGGGTGGGGTGGGGGGAAGGGTCGGGTGGGGGAAGGTTGGGAGGGGGCGTAGTGAATCGCCTCAGGCCCCGGGGCGCTGCGGGCACGCAATGCTTTTTCTGCACGAATTATTAGTCACTGACAATAATGCGCATGCGCCGGGTAATTAACGGAATGGTTCCCTTCATTTATCACAATTATAGAAAGAAAATTCGCTTCGGGAGAAAAAACGGGGACAAACAATAATTCATCAGGGTTCGATCCAACGGCTCACTGGCACACTGCATATACAAGCAGCTACGCCACAATGGCACTCCGACTATCCACTGAAAGTTAAGCCAAAAGTTCTGGTGATCTGTGACTGTATCAATCACGTGATATTTTTTTCACGCATGTGCATAGGCCTATGGTAAATACCTTTACTTAGTTGCAGAAGAAAACAATGCGTTTCTTAAATACAGTCATAGCAAATGTATGCATGACGGGCGAGGACCAGCTCCATGTATAGGCAATATAAATGGGGTGTAAAACAAGCACATCACTGAAACAGTGTACATAATATCACTAATTATTGTATTTTATCGGTTTTTTTCCTTCAAAATTGAGAAACATCGATTAGCCTAATCAGTAAGAATTCATAAATGTTGCCAGTAAATCTCTCTTAATCATGCAATTCTTCACCTCTGCCGTGTATTCCGCAATCATGACCGTGCATGAATCAGCAAAAATTATCCAAGCGATTCAACAATTATGCAAAATAACCTACTTGTTCATTAGCTGCAAGACCTCTGTTCAAGGCGATTCTAAAACAAAATACCAGGTATGTAAATATCTATACACAGGTGTAATAATGATTCTGCCATGTAGGTTTAGGCCCCCCCCCCCCCCAAAAAAGTCTCCGGTTTCTGGTATGGAGCTTGCCCAAATAGTGGTGCGGCGACGCAGCTTTTTTTTTTACCTGATATTTTAGCTTTAAATGTCGGCTGATGACTGCAAATGGTGCCCGATTAAACTTAGTGCAAATATATGGGAGTCCAGAGAGGCCACATAAAGCTTATTCTCGACCATAACCCAATCTAAAAACACGTTAAAATTGTGCACCAGCAGGATTCCAGTCAAACCAGTGAGTTTGGCGGTTTTGAGACATCATCTTTCATCGAATTTCGTTTTTCATTTAAAAGAAAAAAGTGTGTGTCGACTCTAACATGTTATCTATTTTGTAAATACCGGCATACTAATTCCATTTAAAATTAGTTAGTATTTATTACATTCTGAAAAACTCCTACTTCCAGCACCGACTAGCAATGCCAAGACGAACGTTGCAAAGATATTGTTGGTGATATTTGCATTCAAGCAATGTTTGCGGAGAATTAGTCGCAAGCAACACGACCGTTAATTTTTTGATGGCAACATATTTCCGAGCGACTGGCCTCAGTACACACCTCAGGGCAGCGGCATAGCGGGGGAGGGGCGGTTGCACAGTGGCAAATTGCAACCGGTTACAGATTTTAAGAGCGAGCGGGGAAGGGGGGAGTGGGGGGGGGGGCGAGCAGGATGGGGCCGGCGACATCATCGGGAAAAGCGAGTCACGTCAGTCGTCGGCGATGAAGAGCACCACCTACTGTCCGTGGGTGTCCATATACGGGCCCGCTTTTAACAGTGTCCCTATGGGTGCAATAAACTGCCATAGACCCAAATGATAAATGGCCCCACTTCAGAAAGTCAGGAAATGTACTCACAATTTACTCTCTCAAGGTGTTTCAGACACACATAAAATTAAAGCTTATTTCCTCGTCTTTCTTTAATTTAAAGAATTTTGGGAGAAATTTCCACCCGAAAATTTCTCTGCCTATTATGAAGACAAATTGTTTTTGAGGAGAATTCTAAGGAAGCCTGGTGGCCGAGTGGTTAGATCCGTCGTCCACGAATCGCGGAGCCTGGTATCGAATCCCGTCGGTGTCTTTTTGCTTTTCAACGCACGCGTTATAGTCAGTCATTATAAGAGGTTTTATTTCCCGTCGTAAAATACCAACAGTACCTTAGCTTAATCGGTAAGCAATGCTGCTGGTACTGTCCGCGAGTTCAAGGTAGGCACCTTCGTACAGGTTCAGGGCGTGTGGTCCTCTCGGAGGATCAGGGCTTAGGGTGCCGCCCTGTTCCTCCCTTAGCTCTTTGCTTTCACATGGTGACTGGCCCTCCGGGGTTACATGGATGGACAGGGAAGGAAGTGTGTATTGGCCGGGACCCCCGAGATCCCAGAAGAGAACTAAGGGATTGTGATGGGGCATCGTTATGGCTCAGACCGATCTCTGAAAGCTTGGCTAGCACATAACTTTTTGATTTTTTTTATTCTATATTTAAAAAACCCGTTGGTTTAGTTTGATATTTACATCATTAGATCAATATGACTGTACCATTACTAATGTCGCTACCACTACTAAGTAAGAAACGTAGTATGCAATATTGTACCGGGCAAAAATAAAAATGTACATTGTGATTAGGTTAATGTTTCAAAATAATAACGTTTCTTTAATTGTGAACATTCCCCCAAAATATAGTAATTCGCAAAATAGGAAAACGCACGAAAAGAAAACCCCATCACCCTTAAGGCCAAAAAAAAAAAAATCGGTCTCTGGTCAGACCAAAGTTCCGGAATTGACGCGGGGATGCGGCTTTTTTTTTTTGGCTTTTTTTTTCTTCTTCAAGCTTGGATTGTACAGACAAGGTGGGGTACTATTTTGCTTTTTTTGGTGTCCTCATGTACATTGGTTTCCTCCATAATTTGCCTTGATGCTCTCGATCATTTGCCTTGGTGCAATTTCCCATTCCTTGATGCTCTTTGGTAAAAAAAAATGGAGGAGGTGCGGCAATAGAGGGCGCTGTTGCAGCTACCGGGGAGCATTTTGGAAAAAAAAAGATTGACGCGCATGATTAAAATCGACGCGCGCGCTGACCAGAGACCGACTTATTTTTTTCGGCCTATTTTTTTTGGCCTATTTTGTATTTGGAAATACAAAATAGGAAAACCACAGTGGAACACCCGAATGTACCTTAAGGATTGAATTTGAAATTATTTAGTCAACCCTGCGCGGATGAGGCTAACTGCACAGTGATGAACCGTAATGTCTGTACTCATTTGCATGGGTCGATGTGTGAAAGGGTTCCTGGTGCTGGGCGTAGTTCGCAAAGTGGTGAAACTCCCTGTCGTTGAGATGATAGGGAGTATCTGAAACAAGCTGGTGACCGTCCATCAGAGCGCAAGTTGCATCACTCGGCGCCGGTGGAAGTCGACGAACGTATCTGGCTCCGACCGGTTCCGACTGGTTTTCAAAGCTGCTCCTTGACAGCGCTGCATCACAGTCGAGGCAGGGGTCTTTCTGGGCGTCACTGGTACAGACACCGTCGCCATGATAGCAACTGGAAGTAAATGCCGATGTTGCATGGAATGGGTGGTCGCGCGGAGCGTCCTGCACCATGAATGGGTTGTTTGGGTAAGGCGCTTTGGCGGTTGCACAGTCGGTATTACTAGTCACGGGCGTGAAGGCACTATTTCTGCAAAGGGTAAAGAGGGCAAACAGAATTGACGATGACAGATGATGTTAGCAGTACTAAGTGCGATCAATGGTTGCTGTTATCGTGGTGTGGCACTTTGGTAGTAATGATGTTGATAATGATAAAAATGTCGATAATTCCGAAATTTATGAGGACGGCGACTATGATCATGACAATGAAGATGAAGGTATGGAAATGATTAGTTCAATCAGCTGGACGTGATTGGGACACGCAATGCTATGGACAACACTGATATTGTAAAGAGAGTCAAGATTACTTTGTGGTTAATTTGAAAAATTGTAATGAAAAGATGTAGGCTATCCTCTTTGAGTGAACCCCGTTTGTTATTTCCCAGGTCTGTATCGTGACTTTGGACGCGATACCTGGCTGTATGGCATAAACTGGTTTATGGCTTCTGACCAGCGCCCCTTGAGCAAAGATATTGACTAATTGGGAAACCGCCAACATGGGGCTGGATAGCTCAGTTAGTAAGAGCACCAGAATGGTTATCTGGAGGTCGCAGGTTCAAGCCCCGCTCCAGTCAAGTTCTTTGTTCAACTTTTCATTCAAGATTACTTTCTAACATCTTGACTGCCGATTCCAGCAACTCTGTCTGAAATGACTCCATCACTGGCTCAAGGGACACTGTTGAAGCGTCCATCCACACAGACCGTATCTCTTTGACACTTCAAAAGTTAAGTAGTCGTAGCCTAACATGGAGCCATTTAGACATAGTGGCTGGACTCTATCGGACGATAATACCATACAGACATATTATTCGGACGTGACAATATCAACACGTACTCTGAGCTGTAAATCGACCAAGGGGGATAGTCGCCAAACTCGCTGAGACTCGCCAAATGTGAACCCGCTGCCGGCGACTGTTGCATGCCCGGAACATGAGATGGACCACGTGACTCCGAGCAGGTCATGTAACTTGAGGCCATGTCTGATGAGGGACCTGAGCGGCTCAAATAGTAGCAGTCGGCTGGCAGACTGTGCGAATCTACCGGGAATATGCAAAAGGATTTTTATAACCAAATACGTCAATTGTTATGAAAGGTCCGCATCATCCCATCAAGCCCAAACATTTTACGCGGTGCAACCACGTGGAGAATTTTATCACCACATGTGCTTATAGGTCAATAACCCTGTCATGCCTGTACATGCACAAGATATAGGTCTTTCACGTGTCCAGGGATGGTTTACAACCTGTCTGAGCTCTGGGCGGCACGAGGGGTTGACGCAAAGGGATCGGCGGCACTTAGGGGTTGGCCACTAAGATCTCCATTACTGCACAAAGGCATTAGCCGCCATCTTGGCTTCTGTCTTTCAACACTCCTTACTCCGGAGTGGCTAGGGTCTGGCCAATGGGAGTCTACAGGCTTGTGGTGTATAGTAGGGGTGAAGATTACATGGAAGCTTGGCCTAATTGGCCCATTGAAGAAAAATTATGCCCAAATTTGAAAAATGTGGAGAATTCAATCACCGCTTGGCTGCTGCATCATCTTTTGAGGACTCAGATTGCAATGCTCTTTAATGATAACGGATGAGCTAAAAGAAAATTGAAGTGACTCACTTGCGGGTAGAGATGTAGTGGTCTGAGCACCAAACTGCTGTCGGCACGGCGTGTGATAGGACGGCTTTGTCGACGTCAACCTCCAGTTTGGTATCAACGAAAAAATGTCGTCAGTGTCGAAGGCTTCGGGAAGACAAAAATAGAGGTACATATGCATGGTCGCACCAGTTTAATAGATGGTACTTGTTAAAGCTATGGCACATTTTGTAGCATGTGGTTGAAAAGGAGGCTACACTGGCAAATAATCAAATTAATTCTCGTAAAATCTACTACCCATATTTTTTCCTGGATCGTTTTCTGCGAATTGAAGGCTTGCTCCTGAGTGAGGATCAGTTATGTCGTTATTGGTAACATAGCTAAAGTGTTTATAATTGTTATAGCCATAGGATGCACCATTGTTTTGATAGAGAGACTGTACTGGCAAATCTCAGTCACCAATGACCTCGATAAACACACCTTGTGTTTCTCTATTGTGCCTTTGCAACAAGCTGTCAACTCTCTTGGATCAGTTGTCATGGTACAGATGAAAGAGAGGCTAAAGTCTGGTAAATACTATAGCCATAAAAATAAACCCACCACCCTGTGTTTCTCACTTGAGATATCTCTTGAGTGTGGATCACTTGTCGAAACAAATAGCATGATGTTAGAGGTGTAGTTGTGTTAGCGATGCTGGGGTCTTTGTATTAAACATCGATGAAAGAGGCTGAACTGGCAAATACGAGTCATAAAAATAAACACACCACTCTGTTTCTTCCTTGATATTTCTCGTGAGTGTGGATCAGTCGTCGATCAAATCTTTTCACAGCTATGGTGTACAGAGGAATACATGTAGTTGTTTCAGTTATTGGATCTTTGTATATACACCAAAGGTTGAAAGGGAGGCTAAACTGGCGAATATAAGCCATTTACATAAACCCACCTCCCTGCGTTTCTCCTTTGAGTCTGCGCAGTAAGCTGTCGGCTCGCTCCTGAGTGTGGATCAGCTCCATCTTGTAGTGTACGTACTCATCCAGTGTCATGTGGAGAAGATGGAACGAACCTGTATGTGCATAAAAGTGAGACATCAATGTAACTATAACGTTATTTTTCATTACGTTATTTCAGTGTACTTAACCGTTCCTCTTAACGTATATTTTGGTCCAGAAATTTGTGTATGTCTTCAGCCACCTTTCCGCAAGCGACCAGCCTACTAATGTGATACGATTTGAAGGTTTGCATGGTAAAGAAAATTACGGTAGCACCATAAACGCAGTGCAACCGTAAACTTACTTTATATCAGCCTCATTTCGTTGTAGCCCGTTACAATAGCAGCGCACATAATACTGGAGTCTTGTATAGCGCACGTATCTACCAACGATTAGGTACTCAAGGCGCTGGCAGTTATGTATATTTTTAAAGACAGGTAAATGAAGTTTATGAGAAATGTGAGACCCATTATGTAGCACCTTTATAAAGGGTTTACAAGGTGCTGCGGCGCATATTGCAGCCACTGCCAGAAACACCGGAGCAAACCCCTTCTCTTAGCGAAAAGTATTACTGCGCTCTTTAACGTGCATTACACAACACACGGGACCTACGGCTTTACGTCCCATCCGAATGTAGAAGCAATTATGGTAAAGTGCCTTGCTCAAAAGCACAAGAACGGTTCCCCGTCAAGATTCGAACCCGTGTACCTCGGCACATAACACCGTAACCATTGGACCACGTACAGCCCCCCACATCACGGTGTACCTCAGGGAGCCATTTGACCATCGTTTGACAAGAGACTTTTGCACATTACTATGAGTGCCTAGGCGTAAGTTACGTCATGAACTGACCACTTGATCGAACATGCTCTTAGTCTTTAGGTCTATACATTTCTCACCGAAACTTGGGGAGCTGTGGAGCGTCATGTCTCTCATGACCTTTGTGCTCAAACAGGACCAAATGAGCATGAACCGCCGTGCCCTCTGACACACGCTGCTTGACCCTTGACCTTGTTGATGCTGCAAGAAAAAGTAAGAACAAGAGAAACGATTTGAATCACAAATAGTTAGAATCAGAGCCCCTTGTTTGAGCAGATTCGTTGATTAATTATGCAAGACAACCGCATCTTGACCTCTGGACTTTGACCAATTAGCGGGCGCTTTCTATATCGGGTCTCCGGTCATTCACCCGTTGCGCGTCGTAGACATGGATTAAAAAAACTGTGTTACAAAACTGTACAAAACACTGCATTCGAATTGACCAATCAAACCATTAGTCCTGAATTGGGAATGAAATGACGTCACAATTTAGTAAAGTCGACTCCGATTGGCTGGCGCACGGCTTACATATATTTGCATGTTTAGACATATCAGACGTTATACAGGAGACTTGGCTCCGTGGATAAAGGGTGATACTCAGACTACTTATAAGTGTGCACAGCCCGTAATGATGACTCAAGCGAAGGAGAACATGTGTACCAGTTCAATAGACTCTTCGCATCTGACGTCACATCGAGGGACAGGTCTTTGTTCTCTGTGACAAGCACGGGTAGGCACATTGTACATTTCATAGTCACTCAATTTAACTATCAAAAACTACCCCAGTGAGGGCGCTCCATGCTATGTTTCCATTGTCTTTGATGAAGACTAACCTTTTCCACGCACTTCTCGAGTAGAGAGTCAAGCCAGTCAGTGTAGGCCTCGAGTGACGATTGCTCCTCTAAAAGGCCACCGAATTCCTCGCACACTGTGACAGCAGAGAACAAAGTTTACTTTGTTATGCAACCTTTTATGCAAACAAACGACATATCTCCTGTACTACGGAGGATACTTTGTAACAGTGATGATCAAAGTTTGATCTGACTGCTTGCAAGCGTATGCTGGGACTCTATACGTGTGACGTCACTCGGCTACTGCCATGTTGTTGTGAGCAAAAATAAGTACCATTCAGATGTCGGAATAATGTGAGCATTAAGACAAAAAAACGGTTGCAAAGTTCCTTTCATTTATAAAACTTATATTAGCAATAATCAAAGGGGGATTTCGGTAATAGTTTTGCAGACACGGCCAGGTTAGCGGTAATGGTGTAGGCGAAAATCTGTGGAGTATGTGCTGTGGCCTCGTGGTTAAGGGCACTGGATTCGTGGTCTGCGGGTAAAGCTGCAGGTTGTGGGTTCGAGTCCAGCCTGGGGTTATGGTGCATGTGCCAGGAGTAAATGGGTACCTATGAGGGCAGAGACGGTTATTGTGATATAATTAGCTTCCTTGCGTGTAACAGGCAGCACCGAGTTGTATACTCCCAATGGAGCTGAGATGCTTTTTGGAATGTTTCATGGGCCCATTGAGCAGGGTTAATAATGATGTAGCGCCTTGAGCACCAGTCCTGGTGGATACATGAGCCTTATACACATTTACCTTCTATTATCATTGGGGGGGGAGTTGAATCATAAAAAAGGATAAAATGTCATTTTCTTCGCAAATTACGGAATTTGTGTAGGAAGGGCTATCAACACCAATGTTATTGTCTTTCCTGATAACTTCTTCCGCCACTTTTCAAAAGCAAGTCAACATTTGATAACACTTTTTCCAACTAACGTTGGGCTAGCTGAGGCGCAGGCGCCATGTCCTGCACGGCGTACAGCGTCTGGCTACGTAGCGTCACGTGGTCGATCAGGGACCAATCATCGGCCATCTGAGACGTGACGTCACTGGTCTGGATGGTTGCTTTGGAGGCCTGGCAGAGATGGTTGAGAGACCCCTGGCGCTGAATCAGACGCGAGAAGTACCTGGCCACTGGGAAGGAGTTGGTGAATAAAAAGTGGGTTCTTGTGGTTGGTGAATTAATAACGTATTGTGCTTGTTTTTACCCAGCGGCTCATTCAAGATTGGACATAAGCGTTGCCTGCACCTTCGGTTTCTGTGTATTTCTCGCAGTTAACAAGTTTAAAGGAGCTTCTCTGGAATACCTTACCAAAAGTCTTGATCAGTTGGTCATTGCGCACTGTTTTATTGACTAATCATGTAAAAGGAAGGATCAATAGTTGCACTGACAATGGTTCAAAACTGTTTCTTCATGGGGTTCCAGGGCTGAAGAAAAGATAGAAATCTTCGAAACAGAAGAGGGAAAAAACCCAAACCACCAGAGATATGGAGATAATGTAGTGATCAAGGGATATAAACAAAGACATGGTATATGATCAAGTGTTAACGAATCTGCAGATTTGAGTATTGCTGGAATTTGTTGCAATAATTAAAGCAAGAATTTAACTTCACATTTCGAGAGCAACTATCTTTTGGTAATACATTGACTTGGAACCAAGACTGGGTTTCGCCTGTTTCAATTGACTTTTGACTTGGTGCTCAGTCTTTGCTATATCGTAGTGACTCAGACTCTTGCCAGTGGTATCGAATTAAGTCGAATGTAAGAGCTCAAGGCACATAGAAGTTTTTGTACTCGTGAATTTGGTGTTGCAGAGAGATTCCGGAAGCTGGTCCAGCGCGTCGCGTAGCCAGTCCTCCAGTCTGCGGACAAACGAGCCGATGACCTGGGTCAGGCTCTCCGGTATGGTCTGCGTAACGGACGGCATGAGTACCCCAGCAATGGCCTGGTGAAAAATATTAAAAGGGAAAAATTATAAACCTCGTAGTGAGGGATTATCGTTGGTATAAACGGATGAACTTTCACAACTACAATGAGTTGGCCATTTCTCATAGGAAACGCTATTCAATTTTCGTGGTTGTAATAACCTACAGTTCGAGACTGACCTAATGATTGTGAAAATTCATGTGAATCAAAAATTTCCCGTCAAACCTCTTGTGGGTTCGTTAAGAAAACTGAAAATTGACACAAAGATGCACTCAGTTCAACGATTCGATACCAAAAAGAAAGTATTTTGCACCAACCTTTTAAAATGTCAGAAAACGTTTGCCTTTGAAATATAACGGTAGTGCATCTTATTGTACCGTGGCATTTTAAAAGTTAAAATAGGTAAAGTTAGCCTACAGTTTGTTTTAGAAATTCATGATAATTATGGGATTTTATACAACAATGAAAATGTGCTTTGATAGTGAAATGTGAATTATACAGGGTGAATAATAAATAACGAAACCCAAATGTCGGGACCATTTTTTTAGTAAAGTTCTGCATGTAGCACTTTCAAAATCTAGAATATACAAAACCCAATTCATAAGCTTTCTTTTAGTACAAGAATCATTCAAATCACTCGTGTACTTTTCAAGTTACAGAATTTTAAACACAGCCTTCGTTTTAAAGTTCTGTCCACGGATCACAAAAAAGGTGGCGTTCTTTCTGCAAAACGAAAACAATTCACACACATCCTATGTGATTTGTTTTCGTTTTGCTGAAAGAACACTTAGCTTATTGTGACCCGTGGATACTACTTTTTATACGGTGGTTGTGTTTAAAATTCCATAACTTAAAAATTACATGAGTGATTTGAATGATTCTTGTACTAAATGAAGGCTTATAAATTGAGCTTTCATATGCTAGATTTTGATAGTGCTAAATGCCGAACTTCATTAACAAAATGGTCCCCACATTTGGGTTTCCGGTGTTTTTTTACTCACCCTGTAAAGATTCTGACCACTTTAAGGCAACAGTGCATTCAGTTTATGGCAGCATGTAGCCATGTTCTACTCAATTAACACACGTCACAAAAACCAAACCTTGTACAATATGGAGTCGCACAGGCCGACGATATCAGCGACTGTAGCGGAGTCTAGCACGCCCAGCATGTGGGGCGGCATCCCCTGCCAGAAATGGAGGAGGTAGGTTTCCACTTCGTCGAAGCTGGCCCGGATGACCGTGTCCAGAATGCGCTGGCAGTGGGTGCGGTACATCATCAGAAATGTACATACCTGGGGTAAAGGATATACCAAGGCCGTTTTCCAAAACCCGGCTTTGTCTCCGTCTTTTGGCTTCGGTAATGCAGTTTGGCAATACAACTGGAGCCGGGACGGACCGAAGCCGGGGTTTGAAAAACGGCCATTGATTTTAAAAGGCATTATTTTTCGGAGAGTGAGAGCACTGTACTCTGTCTGTCCTCTGAACAATATCTGTCGGAACGTCGAGAAACGTCTAGAACTACTCTCCCCTCTAGTTCTTTTTAGAACTGCACTTCTTCACTCAAGAGATATTCTATGGTGTACCCGCAAACCTATCACTCAGGTATACTACGTGTAAAAAAAGTCCTACTTTTGACCCTTAATAACTGGTTTTTTTTACCAATGGAATTTAACCAAAATTTCAGATCGTATAAACAAGACATGACACATTTTATGGAGTGAGTTTCATCAGCTTTGTGCAAAAGGGTGAGATTTAAACGCCATAAGAAAAAAATACTCACTTTCAGAATGTTGATACAGCGCTTGAAACGGTGGCAAAAGGAGCGTGTTGCTGCCAAAAGCTTCTGAAGGAATGCAGGATCACCCCTGATGTTTTTGCACACCTCCTCGGTCGTGTGTTGCGCCAAACGACCGAGGAGGTGTGCAATGATATCGGGGGTGATTCTGCATTCCTTCAGAAGCTTTCGGCAGCAGCAGCACGCGCCTTCAGCCACCGTCTCCAGCGCTGTACCGACACTGGAGGGCACCAAGTCGAAAGTGGCAGATTCTGAAAGTGAGTATTTGTTTCGTATGGCATTTAAATCTCACTCTCTTGTACAAAGCTGATGAAATTCGATGAAATTTGTCATGCCTTGTTTGCATGATCTCAAATCAATACAAATGTCTCGTTCAATCGAAAAATTGATTGTAGCCCACCTGTCTTCTGAACAATGTTTGTCGAAACGTCGAGAAACGTCCAGAGCTACTCTCATCTCTTGTTATTATTATTATATTATTAAACGTGCACCCATCAGACCCTGCAGCTGTTGTCAGCTAGGTGCAGGTCTCTGTGGTTCGTAGTTAAATCTAAAAAGGTGTTTTTTTTATTTTACAGTACACACGCAAACCTATAATAATTGTACCCCTTCCGCCATTTCAAGCTTCATATATTTTTTTTCAAAAAGATGGTTGCAATCTTTCTTTTTAACAGATAACTTCAAATAGTTTTACCTTTCCCTCTGAGATGTTTCCAGGCAGCTTGATGTCCTTGACGTCAGGAAAAGGTGGCAGAAGTGTGCCCAACTTGCAGCGGGGTGAGTAGGCCACCGTCTGTCTGGGATGTTCTCTTTTACTCACTTCGTGAGAAGTGCTGTGTCGATTAACAATAGTAACGGGTATTTAAGTAGCGATTGGAACAAAGATCGAACAGCGTACTATCTATTGCTATTTCCCCTGATCATTGAGCCAATGAATTAAAGTTGACAGTTTAATATCAATGAAAATTGAATAAGACGATGCACATTATTCTTACATTTTAGTATTATTTGCAAAATACTTTGCAATAAATAACCCAAATCCAAAATGATGTAAACACAATCTTTAGTTCATTTCAAATTTCAGTATATACATTTATATAAAGGGTGGCTCTTGCTTGGGGCAAAAGTGAACATAAATGCGAATCTGTGATGTCATAGGAAACGTATGGATTGGCCTTTGTCTTTTTCTATCTTGTGACCGAGGGCAGGAACATCTCCAAATTAAGCTGACCCTTAATTCACATTGTAGCCCCTGTTACCCTGGAGATCTGTACCTCAGTTACAAGAATGCACCTGTAAAGGGATCATCAATCAACACGCCATTGTACCATTGTAGCGCAGGTGACTTTTGGCGGGCTCTGTCCCTCATTATCCGACATTCCAGACAGCGAGAGATGGTCTGCCCGGCAACCGGCTGGCGGCGACCAAATTTTACCCTTTGTTACGCTTTAATTTTTTTTCCAAATCTTGTGTTCTCTTATTAGACGTGCAAATGAACAACTCACACGTGTAATCGTTGTTTCCTAGTTGTCCACTGATGCAACGACAGGGCCCAAATTAAGGCGTCATATATTATCTTCACAAAGGACATTCAATCATGACTCTTAGCAATCAGACCTAGTGTGCACGAAACACCTGTGTCAAGATTGCTGTTACCCCCACAGTTAGTAGCTAGATTTTTCGAAGTTTCTTTTTTCACATAAAATTATGGAGGGGTTAATTCAACCAATTATTTGCCTAGCCAGTAAACAGTGCGGTTGAACTACAATGGTAACTTCACCAAAAGGTACATCAAGCTAGTACTGAATTGAAGCTCTTTTCTAGTAGTGGGCCCATTTCCATAACCTCGGCTATGTTTCAAGTTGTGCTTTCATCCCTGGCTCAATACAATTGGGGAAGCCGTTCAAAAGCCTTCCACATTCGTAAAAAGAAATAAAACACTCTACACTTTCATCTCATTTTATATAAATTAATGTTCCTGTGCCCAAAAAAAATCAGCATTACTGAGCTGATTTGTCTCCTGAGTCGGAAGTACAGTTCTTGGGTTTTAGCCAGAGACGAAACTATAATGTTTGGAAGTTGATTCCAATTTGACTCTGGAGATCCGTAACTAAGTCAGGCCCCTACCAAAGACAAACTGTTTGACTCAAAAAAAGGGGAAATGGCAATCGAGACCCATGCCTTCCAATTTTAAAAAAATGGATCAAGTTGGTACAGACAGTGAACTTAACCCAATACGGTATTTAATATGACTTGTAAAGACTGGTAGCCTGTATACATCCCGCACGGTGTGCATATAGACAGAGTCATCGAGTGAAGTAGGGGTTTGTTGGCTCCTACACACGGCACCTGCGAAAATCCAGTGTTTAACGTTTGCGTTTAACACTACCACTGTCAACATGGAACTTGAGCCGGTAGAATGGAAAAGTGGCCGGTGATTGTCTTGTGTGTTTGTCGGGGAATCTAGTATTACACGCCGAAGCAGCCCAGTGCGCGAATACCGATAGAATGGTCCATTGCACACAAATCATATTCTGAAATTTGATTGAAGTAATGATAACTGAAATATGAGTTTGTTGACTTACTTGTTTGTTCGTTCCAGACGTCCCAAAAGATCGCATTTTCTGCCCAAATTCCACTCATTCAGTCAAGCCCAAAAATTGTTTGTGACGCCGAATTATTTTGAACTCGAGGTAGACTAGCTCGACAATTTATGTGAAAAGGAATTGCGGCTTGACTTTATTAAGTATTTTCCAGAGGTTAACTGATCATCATTTTGTGAAAAAAACCCTTTTTTAGCAACGTGAGTGTATTTCTCTCGATTGATTGTTTACTTCATTTTTTCAAAGTTATTACAGTTTACTCACTTTTATTTTTTCCACAGCATATTAAATACTTCTTACCTTTCAGCAACTTTACTGGAGTAGTTTTCTTCATAGTATTCGGAAGTCTCCTGGACTGCAATTCCGTAATAATGGTACCTAAACAAAAAAGTGTGAAATAAGCAAATAAATATCAGCTAGATTTAGTTTTTTTCTTTTTTTTCTTCACATTTGTACAGAAAACATCTTTGCCTGTGAAGAAAGTAAAGGGTTTTTTTAAGGGAAATTACATGTCTTACTTGGATTGTCCTCTGGTTCCTAGACGTCTCGTCGTCAACTGCGGGAACTTCTGTCTGATCATCTAAATGAAAATCATTCAGATTATTTCAAAGTGGAACAAAATGTTTATTTATTTTCATTTAAGTAAAAGTGAGATTTATATACAGAAAAGGTACCAACAACACGATGACTTTACATTGACACTTAAACGTTTCCAGCAACATTGTATGTCCGCAAAACGGTTATTTTTTGGTGATTCGTAGATAGGTCGTGGGTAGTTAGCTCGAGGTCGTCTCGGGTTGGAGTCCCTTCCGGGGGATCCTTTGAGGGTTTTTTTTCCTCACAAGTTTGTGGGCTAAACGAATGATATACAGTGCTGTTAAAGTCGCACTGGGGATGACAAAGCCCAGTAAAAAGATTAATGTAAATCTATCTGACGTAAAATCCATCAAAATGCATGTCAAATTCAATAGGGTCCATTGAAATATCGGAAGTTGAACTAATCATGTTTACAATCAGATGGTCACTCAATATAACCTGCCGTGATTTCCACATAAGATTTTCACAAGAACAACAACTGTGTCTTGGCCAACAAAGTGTTCAGGTGTTGGTACGAAAATATAAAGGCCTTGAAATCGTGTTATTAATGGTACAGATTCTGAAGTGAGCCCATCGTCACTCCTATTTCTTTGTGTGCATTTCCACTTTGCCCACTTTATGGACAAAGGCAATTCAATGTGAACGGACATCACTCGACTGAAGCATGTCTTCGTCAAAAGGGCTGATTCCTTCAAGAAAAAATGAGAAAAATGCCGCAGAAAAACAATTCGAGAGTTTTAGATATACATTATGTCTTTGATATGACGGGATGGATTTGTTTGGTATTGGGAAGTGAGACGTGCTGTGACAAAACTGTAGACGAAGCTTTGCAATAAGATTCGGTAATTTAAAAAAATTGAGCTGCTGCAAAGTGTGGCGTCTTACGTAAACTGTCTACACTCCAAAAACTGTGTTTAGCAATAAAACACAATCTTGCTATCACTTTGCAAACATGTTTAGATGGCTAAACACTATCCATCCTGCACTCTAAACATGTTTAGTATTGAAAACATGTTTACAAACTGATAGCAAGAAAAGTGTTTAGAAAAGTGTTTAATTACTAAACACAGTTTTTGCAGTGTATTCAAGGAATATTATGTCATTTCAAGATGACTTACTTTTGACTAAATGATGGCACTTGTTTTTTTTTCTCTGAAAATGAGGGGAGAATATATGGCAAACAAACGATAGAAAATTAAGAATGCGAAAAGAAAGTAGCAGATTCTACCAGTCTGTCTGTACAGCAGTCTTATTATAAAAAAAACCCAAGGCCTACTAATACTCGCAATTTGGGATTTAAGGTGCTCAACATATGTGAAATCTTTCCAAGTCAGAGTGGTAAGCATAGGTAGAGTGATGAGTCACTACTTCGAACTAAAGCAATATTTATGACAAATTTGTGATTCAATGTCTTTGGCAATTTTAGTAGAATGTTGGTGGACCTAGATGTCTATAAGAAGAGTCTCAACATTGGTATAATTTATTTGTACCTTGCCAAAGCTTGCAGCGTTCATCGGATGAGTGCTGGTCTTTTTACAGAAGTCCGTGTAGTGGACATAGAGCGTGTTGCGCGGGATGCACACACCATCAGCAAGCTCGTAGTTGGACTGCAGCCTTCAACCAATTTGTAAGGCCCAAAAAGAAATATTAACCATCAACATACAGACATCATGAAGGACAGTCAAAGAGAATAGACCACTGTTCTCTATACAAAAATCTGGATGGCACATTGGCTGCAAGAAGTGAAGTCATTGTTCACCATAATTATTACCACTCCCATAACAATGGAATTGTAAACAAATCTATCATATTTTAACCGAAATGTTTACCTTTTTATGATATGTAGTCATTAATGTTAAATAGTTAATTCGAGACTTCAATATTTTTGATATTAATTTCCGTCCACAACGTCTGGATTTTAAAAAGGGATGACAAGGCCAAGTTTGTTTTTAATAATTGGTTTTTCAAATCACTTATCAAATTAGACAGCAAAGAAAAACGTTTGTCTTTACGGTAAAAATATTCGTCTCTGGAAAATGAGAGGGGAGTTTTATTTTTTTACCCAAACTCCAAACTATTTTTCCTGGGGAACCTTTCTGAATCCACAACACTGCAGGAACCCTACGGCTACACATTCACGGGCCTTCGAATTTCTATCGATCCCAAAAATAGTGCCCAGGCAGACTGTACATTATCCACATATTGAAATGACAAAATTCACCCAAACATTCAGAGTGAATTCAAAGGGGTCCGCTCATAAGTCCGACGCCTCATAGGTCCGACGCCTCATAAGTCCGAAATTTCGGACGTATGAGGCGTCGGACTTATGAGGCATAGCATTTATTTATTCCGCCTCATAGGTCCGACGCCGCATAAGTCCGACGCCTCATAAGTCCGAAACAGTGTTTGTCCATTGTCGGACTTATGAGGCGTCGGACCTATGAGGCGAATTGTATGCCGCATAAGTCCGACGCCTCATAAGTCCGAAACAGTGTTTGTCCAATGTCGGACTTGTGAGATGTCGGACCTATGAGGCTTCAGACTTATGATACGGCCCCAATTCGAAGTATCTTGGATGGTTGAGTTAAGAGGGTATTCGATTTACTGTTTTTGTTATTCACAAATGTAGTTTCATTCAATGTGTTGAAGGAACATAAACAGACTGTACGCCTAACTGATAACTTACCATTTGAGAATCCTGGGCGTTGGATGGGGCTCTTGGTGTCTCATTTTACACATGTGCTTCGACTTAGAGCGAATGCCTAAATAAAATATTGGTCCTCTAAAAGTTTTTGTTGCTCGAGAATTTTTTTATATATGCACGTAATTTGTACAGTGAATTATTTTGTAGAAGTGAACAAATACAAGCAAATGCACGAGACTGATCAAACGAAGGATATCGTTAAAAACAAATCACACCAGATTTCGGAAGGATGAACGAGTGAAAATAAAAGAAGCGGTAGTGTAGTTTGGGACCCAGTTCCATATAAGAGTACAAAAAGACACATTTTTGTTTTGGGACTTAGTAGGAAAAGTCACTTTATGTGTTTGGAATCATCTAAATAGTTCACTAAGATACCATGTTGAATATTAGCAAGCTGAAGTTTGTGGAAAGAGGGCTCGGTTTAATTTATAGGAGAAATTATGGGGTAAAACATTGAACAGCAGCCCCCGCTATACCAGTCTCGCATATTAATGGTGTGAACTTCTCCAACACGCACGCATGAATCTGAGTGCAAAAACGGTAAGAAAATCACATTTTCTAAAAAAAAAATATGATTTAATCTGAAGAAAAAATCTGAAGAAAAAAGACTGCTTGAGGCTGCAAAAGTCACATTGGAATTGACTGTCATTTGCAAGAGTCGTTTTTAATCGGAACTTGTAAAAGAAATTGAGGTATTCTAAAAATCTACAAAATTACCATGCAAGAGCATCAGTACTTACCCTGCCTGCATGTAGATACGGAATCCATGTCAATAAAGTCAGTCTTATCCATTTTGGAAATTCTAGAAGTCAAATTTACTTTCCCGAGATTGATGCAGTATCTTTGGTTATCTTCAAGCAGCCAAAAACAAAAATCTTTTCTTTCGGATGCTCACTAAACGCTGAACGGCGACACTGCACAGAATTGGTTCATGGTACTCCAGTGAGTTGTAATTAGAGCATACGACACACGGTTCAACTGTAACAAACTAATGATGTCCCATGCAACGCCAACAGTAGGCTAATTGGCTAAAGAAAAATCCCACGGTTTTTGCGCCACGTGGCTCGCCAAGAATTAAGAGATGAGCGCTAATTATTCAGGGCGAGACTGAATGAAAATTCCTTTCAAAAATAATCTAATCTTCATCATTAAAAATGGATTTACAAAGTTGACAAACTGGATATTGTTATTTCTCTGATGATGTAACTGGTGACCAGCAGAGACGACCACAACGTGCGGAGATGCAGGATACCTGTCCAGAATAAAGTCACATAGCATTTGAACTCTGAGCTGGCTTCATTCATACGTGCTGGAAGGTGGAAATGAACTAAAATTATCTTGCATTTTCGGGAGGTGTCTATTAAAGAACAATCGCCGAGCACATCTCCTAAATCTGGACGACAGCAACCGACAGCTTCGTGCTCTTCAATGTGAAGTGACGAAGTTATTCGGCAGAGTTGGTACGTCAAGATGTCGTCTGGTGTACTGAAACCATAAGCCGTGTCCTACCGCTGGATGCCTTGCCGTTGTGGTGAGAACCGGTACAAATTACAAACATAAACTTGGCCTTTCGCCCAGCCTTTCTTGGAGTCCACAGTTTGACGCTATCACTTTCAAATAGAACGTCATGATCTGTCAACACCGAGCGCAAAATGAATCGCAGTCGGTTAAAACACCCAAGGTATTTACGTGAACAATGCCCGGGCATAGATGTCTTCACTGGTTGGTCTCTTATCAATGTCCATTGCCAACTAGACAACTGGATGTATATATTTGTAGTATTTGTTTTCTTTTCAAGGCAATATGATAGGCTCAGCTACTTGAGAAGGAAAGGGGCGGGGCTTGAACATCACGTGTCTCTCCAACAGGTGCGTTATTGAAAGGTGAATGCATTGTTGGAAATTTGTTTGTTGTCTGCTCTTCTTACCTGGGAAAGGAACAGTCACGTCCGATGCTGGAGAAGTGAGGTCAACAATCCTGAGGCCAAGTGGCAGAATTCTCTGAATAACGAGTCACTTTGATTTGGACAGAATGCAGAGATTGTATTATTTGTAATGGCTACAAACAGGTTTTGCTACATTAATAAGGCATGCTAGGGATTTCGCTTGGATATAATACAAGTGGAATTCAAACTGCATACATGCAGTGCATTAGTTACGAAGGTTATAATTTTTTTCTGTTTAGTTCCTAAGAAAAATCATGCAAATTATTACTCAGTCATTAAGGGTACATAACTTTTGAAATTCCCACATGTATTTGCCTGCCTAACACGACTTAACATAATTTTAGCTTAATGAATGTGATGATTTGGTTGTTATTGTCATATGTGAAATAGGGGTTTCATGTACAAGTTCGGGATGGAGTCGTCTAATTTTGGGGTGGGCATTCAACAAAGGGGAAAAATTCAAAATAATAATTCTAAAATAGTGGCAGGATAACAGTTTGGAAAAAAGCGGGCGTCAACAAAAACAAATGTTTTACAATCTACATTGTCAAAACATATGTCTAAAATCAGATGTGATTTTCCCCCGGTCTTTACATTTCAAAATCCAATTCCGCAATATCGTTGGCACAGTGGTCTGATTGGGCAATGGTCTGTATATGTGCGATCTTAGTTTTACCGGTCGAACACAAAATTCGGCACGAACGACCGAACAGTTTTTTATTTAGTCATCCCCGGCCCAAGGCAAGCAAGGCCTTTAAGAACTGCGCATCTTCACCGCGCTTTCTTCAAACTATCAAAACTAACATGGACATCTTTCGGTTCATCAATTTTGAGGGGTTAGGTTTTCCTTAATCAACAAATACCGAAAATGTGGGCACATGAGGACAACAGGTGGCGCACGCGCGACCACGGCACGTGGACGAGCCCGTTGCCATAGTAGCGACACGCGCAAGTGACAGGCGACTTTGTTGTTTGATTGGTTGGTTGGACTGGCTGTCAGTGCGTCACCGCAGTCTCAGGAAGTCAATACAGGAAGTCTAAATAGGCAAATTATGCTGTCTCGATTACCTTTAAAACCAGGCCCGGATTACCCAATAGGCACAGTGGGCACTGTGCGTATAGGCCTACCAAAATTTGGGGGCCTACGAAAAATTTGGGGGCCTACCAAAACGGGGGAGGGAGGCGCTACGAGAATACCGCAGTGTGCCATAAAACACATAGGCCTACCCATGCTCGCCCACACGCGCAGAGAAAAGTTTTACAAAAAAAAGTTTGAGGGTCTCTCTCAAAATTTTCGATTTCGCCAACTGACGCTGTACAGCATGTATGCATTGGACAAACGTATAAAATGTACGTGCAAAGTCGTTCTCAAGCACGGTGTCGTTCTCAAGCACGGTGCACGAACCTCTTCAGACTTATCCAGGCGCGAACCGATACGATGGGCGCGGTCAATACTGTTCAGGCCTAAGTCCAGGCTGAGGTGGTGTTGCGCAACGTCGATAATCTTTTTTTTGTGAGCATTCTCAATCTCCGGCGATGCTGGCTCAGGAATGCCGTGAACAATGAGCGTATCACGGCGGCTGTATTGTTCTTGTTGTTCGATCCTCGATTCAAGATGGCGCACATCATGCTGCAGTTTCGCAATTTGTTCATCTCTTTTGACGAACTCGAGCTGCATAGCCTGGTGCAGGTTGTGAGATATAGCATCGGAAAGGGCAGGAATGATAAGGTCAAGAACCGCCTGGGACTTGAAGGCCTCAGATATAGCAGTAGCTAGGGCTATGGGGTCAATAGACGCTTCAGGGGTAGACACTGTTGCTGTCGAGGCTTGACGTTTTGGCGGCATTTTTGCAAGTTGACAATGTTCCAAATGTGAATACTCACAGGTTGAAGCAAAATAAGACAGGTCGAAACCCTCAGTTAAACTGCTCTGAAGATTTTGGGGAAAAAATGCCCCAATTCTGCCGAGTAAAATGTGAACTGTCGGAGCCGATTCAAAACACGCCCGTTCACCACGCTCACACGACTTTCATTCCGATTGTATTTTCCGCGGTGAACACACCGGATTGTTTTGGTTACATTACTTTTAGGCCTATTGTTTGACAATTTCTCTCAACAATAAATAGACTTCTCTTAATATATATCAAACAAATAACCAGACCGAATTTCAACTCAATTCATCAACATTTTCCAAACTTATCGTTCAGAAAACGAGTGTATTGTTTTTCCCAAAAAAGTTGACTGATGTTCGGATTGCATTTTTCGCGGTGAACACACTGAATTGTGTGTACTTTTTTGTTTGAAAATTTCTCTTAACAATTAATAGACTTGTGTTCTATATAGCTGCACTAGTTTTGACCAAATTCTATTAAAAAAAGAAGTTAAGTTAACCCTTTACCATAAAAAACAACTCATCGGATATAAACATCTAACGGGCCTGACAACCCCCCCCCCCCCGCCGAAAATCCTGGATCCGCTCCTGAACGCACCTGATGCCTGTTTCACAAAAGCCCACATGATAATAGTGTTCACTGTTGCGTAACGATAAGAATGTTTAGCATACGTACAGGCCTACGACTAACGAGGCTGCCGTTTACAATTTTCCAAACAAATGAAAACAGTTGACTCATTATTGCCCGAAATATCGACCTCTGTTAATCCGTCCATGGAGCCAAATGCACGCTGCAATGTTCCACGTTTCTCCGCCTATTATTAAGACAATTTGTTTTTGAGGAGAAATCTAAGGAAGCGTGATGGCCGAGTGGTTAGATTCGTCGTCCACTATTCGCGGAGCCCGGGTTCGAATCCCGTCAGTGTCTTTTTGCTTTTCAACGCACGCATTCCATTCAGTGATTATAAGATGTTTAATTTCCCGTCGTGAGATACCAACTGTACCTTAGCTTAATCGGTAAGCACTGCGGCTGGTACTGTCCGTGAGTTCCAGGTTGGCGTCTTCGTACAGGTTCAGGGCATGTGGTCCACTCGGAGGATCAAGGCTTAGGGTGCCGCCCTGTTCCTCCCTTAGCTCTTTGCTTTTACATGGCGACTGGCCCTCCGGGGTTATATGGATGGACAGGGAAGGAAGTGTGTATTGGCCGGGACACCCGAGAGCCCAGAAGAGAACTAAGGGGTTGGCTGGGGCATTGTTATGGCTCAGACCGATCCCTGAAAGCTTGGCTAGCACATAACTTTTTGATTTTTTTTGATACTCTATTTGTTTAATTTTTTTTTTTACTTTGGTTTAGTTTGATATTTACATCTGCTGGGCAGGCCTACCATTATTAATGGCGCAATTTTTAATTGACGTAAGACACGCCGGGAAAAACATAAGGTGTACATTGTAATATATGCATTACATCATAAACTACATCTTTCAAAGACCGTTTCTTTAATCGTGAACATTCTCAAAAGATACAGATATTCGCAAAATAGGAAAACTCAAGAAAACAAAGCCCCTCACCCTTAAAACTGGAAATACAAAATATTGTAAAGCAAAGTCAAGTGGAACACCCGAATGTACATAGGGATTGAAGGTAAAAATCCATTACCTGGGGCTTTAACAGACCAAATTGTTGGCGAAATTTTCTTTTCAGAATCACGTCTGTCCACAAATTGAATAGGAATGTCCATTAGACTTCTTCCCCGCAAAATTAACGGAAATTCATTTTTCGGCCAAAATTGAAAAACATGCATTCTCAAAATTTGGCCAAAAAATTCAATTTTCTGCAAAGAACGCAGAAAGTTCTTCAGAGGCAAGAGGAGCCTCAATCACAATCGAAACACCACAAAATTGTGTAGGCAAAATTCATTGATATTTTTCCGTAAAAAAGGTTACACTTTCGACCGATTTTACCCAAAATTGTTGGCGAAATTTTCTTTTCAGAAGCACGTCTGTCCACAATTCGAATTACTATATCTTCTAAGTTCAATTCGGCACTTTACCTGCAGGTTTTACGGAAATTCATTTTTCGGCCAAAATTGAAAAATTTGCAAGAGGTTAGCTTTACATTTTTGTCAAAATTTTGCTCCCCCCAAAAAATCGCTTTTCTCCAAACAGTGCAGAAAGTTCTTCAGAGGCAAGAGAAGCATCAATCACATTCCAGACACCGCAAATGCGAAGAGTTAGGCAAAATTCATTGATATTTTTTTCAGTAAAAAAGTTCACATTTTCGACCGATTTTGCCCCAAATTTTAGCGAAATTTCTTTCGAAACAACGGAGTAAAAAACCTTCAGAGGCAGGGGAAGCATCAATCACTATTCAAACACCCCACATTTTGAAGATGGAGGCAAAGCTCATTGATATTTTTGAGAAAAAAAAGTTCACATCTTTGACTGATTTGGCCCCAAATTTTAGGCGAAATTTCCTTTTCAGGAGCACGTTTGTCCACAGAATGGATTGGAATGTGTTTTAGGGTCCATAAGGCTCTTGCCCCGCAAATTTTACGGAAGTTCATTTTTCGGCCAAAATTAAAATTTGAAAAGGGGTTAGCCTATACATGTTTATCAATACATGTATTTTGGGTAAAATATAAATTTCGGTTAAACTTGCATGGAAGAATCCTAATGGACCCTAAAAGATTTCAATCCGATTTGTGGACAGACAGGTTCCTGAAAAGAAATTTCGTCAAAATTTGGGGCAAAATCGGTCGAAAATGTGAACTTTTTTACTGAAAAAATATCAACGAATTATGCCTAAATCTTCACATTTGCGGTGTTTGGAATGTGAGTGATTCTCCTCTTGCCTCTGAAGAACTTTCTGCAATGTTTAGAGAAAAGTGATTTTTCGGGGGGGGGGGGCAACATTTTGAAAAATTTTTAAATCGGTTAAATATGTGAACTTTTTCCCTCAAAAATATTAACGAATTTTGCATCCTCTAAATCTTAAACTGATTTTTAGGCCAAATTTTGGCAAACATTTAAGGCTTACCCCTTGCAAATTTTTCAATTTTGGGTGAAAAATGAATGTCCGTAAAACTTAAAGGGAAGATGTCTAACGGATCCTAGACGACATTCCAATTCGATTTGATGACAGACGTGCTGCCTAAAAGAAATGTTCGCCTAAAATTTGGTGCAAAATCGTTCAAAAATGTGAATTTGTTTACTAAAAAATATCAATAAATTTTGCCTAAATCTTCAAAATGTGGGGCCTTTGGATAGTGATTGATGCTGCTCTTGCTTTGAAGAACTTCCTGAGTTTTTTGGAGACCAGTGAATTTTGGGGCAAATTTTGACAAAAATGTAAGGCTAACCCCTTGCAAATTTTTCAATTTTGGGTGAAAAATGCATGTCCTTTTAAACTCGAAGGGGAGATGCCTAATGGACCCTAGAAGACATTCCAATTCGATTTGATGACAGACGTGCTGCTTAAAGAAAATTTCAACTACAATTTTGGGCAAAATAGATCGAAAATGTCAACTTATTTACTAAAAAAATATCAATAGATTTTGCCTAAAGCTTCAAAATTTGGGGCGCTTGGATAGTGATTGAGGCTCCTCTTGCCTATAAAGAACTTTCTGTGTTGTTTGGAGAAAACTGAATTTTTGGCAAAATTTTGACAAAAATGTAAGGCAAATTTTTCAATTTTGGGTGAAAAAAATGTAATTTCGTAGAACTTGAAGGGAAGATGCCTAATGGACTCTAGAAGACATTCGAATTCGATTTGTTTACAGACTTGCTACTGAATAGAAAATTTCGCCAAAAATGTGGGGCAAAATGGGACTAAAACGTCAACTTTTTATTAAAAATATCAATGAATTTTGCCTAAATCTACAAAATTTGGGGTGTTTGGATAGTGATTGATGCTCCTCTTGCCTCTGAAGAACTTTCTGCGTTGTTTGGAGAAAAGTGAATTTTTGGCCAAATTTTGACAAAAATGTAAGGCTAACACCTTGCAAATTTTTCAGTGAAAAATGAATGTCCATAAAACTTTAAGGGAAGATGCCTAATGGACCCTAGAAGTCATTTCAATTCGATTTGATGACAGACGTGCTACTTAAAAGAACATTTCGCATAAAATTTGGGGCAAAATCGTTCGAAAATGTGAATTTTTTACTAAAAAATATTAATAAATTTTGCCTAAATCTTCAAACATTTGGGGCGTTTGGATTGTAATTGAGGCTCCTCTTGCCTCTACAGAACTTTCTGCGTTAACGTTGTTTGGATAAACTGAATTTGGGCGATATTTTGACAAAAATGTAAGGCTTTATTACCCCTTGCCAATTTTTAAATTTTGGGTGAAAAATGTCTTTCCGTAAAACTTGCAGGGAAGATGCCTAATGTACTGTAGAAGACATTTTAATTCGATATGTGGACAGACGTGCTTCTTCAAAGAAAATTTCGCCCAAAATTTGGGGCAAAATCGATCGAAAATGTGAACTTTTTTCTCTCAACTCAAAAATATCAATGAATTTTGCCTCCTATAACTCTTCGAAATTTGAGGTGTTCCTATTGTGACTGAAGTTCCTTTTGCCTCTGAAGAACTTTCTGGGCTGTTTGGAGAAAAGTGAATTTTTGGCCAAATTTTGACAAAAATGCAGGGATAACCCCTCGCAAATTTTTCAATTTTGGCCGAAAACTGAATTTCCGTAAAACCTGCGGGGAAGATGCCAAATGGACTCTAGAATTTCGGCAAAAATTGGGGCGGGGGGGGGGGGAAATCGGTCGAAAAATGTGAATTTTTTATTAAAAAATATCAATAAATTTTGCCTAAATCTACAAAATTAGAATGTTTGGATAATGATTGATGCTGCTCTTGCTCTGAAGAACTTTCTGAGTTTTTTTGGAGAAAAGTGAATTTTGGGGCAAATTTTGACAAAAATGTAAGGCTAACCCTTTGCAAATTTTGGGTAAAAAATGAATTTTCTTAAAACTTGCAGGGACGATGCCTAATCGACCCAAGAAAACATTCCAATTCGATTTGTGGACAGCCGTGCTGCTGAAATGGAAATTTCAATATCGTTCGGAAAATTCCCCCAAAAACCTTGACTTCCGTTCGGATTGCATCTTTCGCATTGAACACACTGGATTGTTCGGGTTATAATACTTTTATTGGTTTACCATTTCTCACAACAATCAACAGACTTGTATTATATATCACGAACAGTTTTTTGTTAAAATTTTTGTCGAAAAATGAATTTCTTAAAAAAAAAAAAATTGCGAGGAAGAAGCCTAATAGACACTGAAAGACATTCCGATTCAATTTGTGGACAAATATGCTTCTGAAAAGGAAATATCGCTAAAAACTGTAGGCAAAATCGGTCGAAAATGTGAACTTTTTTATTGAAAAATATCACTGAATTTTGCCTAAAGTTTCAAAATTTGGGGTGTTTGAGTAGTGATTGATACTCCTCTTGCTTTTGAAGGGTTTTCTTCGTTTTTTAGAAAAAAAAGTCAATTTTTGCCGAAAAATTAATTTCCGTAAAACTTGCGGCAAAGAAGCCTGATGGACCCTAGAAGACATTCCAATTCGATTTGTGGACAGGCGTGCTTCTAAAAAGAACATTTGCCAAAAATTGGAGGCAAAATCGGTCAAAAATGTCAATTTTTTAACACAAAATATCAGTGAAATTTGTCTCTACAAAATTGGGGTGTTTGAATAGTGATTGATGCTCTTCTTGCTCTTCTTGCCTAGTTGTTAAGCTGTCTGACAGTGGATCCGGGGTTAGGGGTTCGAATCCGCTTGCTGTCATTTTTTTGGTTTTCGATGCCCGCGGTTCGGTCATTTACCAACAGCAGTTAGCTCGGTCGGTCGGTAAGCTGACTCACAAGTTGGGACTGTCTGCGAAGTCCAAGTTGGCATCTGCGTATAGGTACGGGGTTCTTTTGCTGACTCGGCAGCAAGGCTTAGGGTGCCACCTCGTTTCCGCCCTTTATGGTGGCTGACTTCCGAGTTACATGGATGGACAGGGAAGGAGGTGTGGTGGGCCGGGTACCGAGTCCCGGAAGAGTTCTATATTGGAAGTCGGTAAGGGGCTCATTAAGTTAGGGTCACAAGTCCGACTCCTGAAGACTTGGCCATCGCCACATAACTTTTTGTTCTATTTTCTTTCTTTTCTATCGGACAATTGCAAGAATGATTAATTTGTTATATTGAAAGCTTGCACTGTAATCGTTCAAAATTTATTTTTAAAATTGCTCGAAAATACAAAATTTAATCCAGCTAAAATGTTTTTATTTCATTGTCGCAAAACTGCATGTACATGCTCAGTACCTTTGCGCATACCTTGTTCAGGCCTGTTCCCTGATCCCAGACTGCCGGGGGGGGGGGTTCTTTAAATCCTATAGTGGATTTTTTTTGGGTATTTTTTATAGTTCTTTTATATGCACAGCTGTAGCTGTCAACCCCCGTATATGAAGCGACTTCGCGCGGCAGCTTGTGCCGACATGACAGAATGTACAATCTTTAGACGTGGGTTTCAGAACCGGATTTTAGCTTCGCGGAGTTTTGAGCAGCGGTGTTTATTATTTACATTCTCCACTTTGTTCTTATTCCCTCGTCCTTTCCCCTTCCTTCTCCATTCTTCGGAACACTGGTGCCCAGGGCTTACGAAACACTTAATCAGGGCCAGTTTGCTCGATCGGAAATATCTCGGAGGCTGCAGAGGGCCAACGAATTCGTGTTCATGCATGGGTCACGTGATTGTGCCATGTAATTTCTAGAAGGAGTAGCGTTTTCATAAAAAAAACCCAGCGTTTTGACCCCAGTGACCCTATGATGAACTTTGACCCCAGTTTGGTCATTGTGACATGTTGGGGCTGGGCTACTGATACTTTTGACAAAGTTTGGTTGAAATCGGTCGAAATATGTAGGAGCAATAGTCAATGTCAACGTTTGTTTAACTAACGGACGAACGGGGAGACATGACGATTTGTTGAGCTACTTTTCCGCAGCTAAAAAAGGAACTCCGAAGTCAAATAGGCCTGTCTGCATACTATAACTGAGCAAGTTGGCAATTTCTCATGTTTTATAAAACCTCAAAATTTCAACAACAGCAAAAGTTTATTTAGCCTACTCGACATGTTTGTTCACTTGACAAAAAACTTTAAAAATACTACATTGTACAACACTACCTTCACACTTTTATTAAATGTGAGATAAAAAAGCAGCATTATGTGGACAAGCGTGACGAGTAAAAACAAAATGTTGGATCGTTACAGGAGCATTTAATTTATCATGCAGTCCTTTAACAAAGTACACATAATCTCAATAGCATACTCGAGCCGGTGTTAGGGCCGAGGGTGAAAAGTCTGTATTCTGTAAATTAAAACGCAACATAATTTTCAAAGGTTCGCATGCAAGATGCGAAGTCGGTTTTCTGCTCCGTGGTTGGCAAACGGTGGTTGTCAAACCGTGGTTGGCAAACCGTGGTTGGCAAACTATGGTTGGCCGTCAATGAAAACAAAATATAAAAAGAAGGAAAAAGAAAGAAAAGGCAGTTGTCAAAGACATACTGAATGACAAAATGTAACTACTAAAAATGGAGGTCCCTCACGTGGCGAGGGTGTAACTGACAACTGCGGAACTCTGGGTAAAGGCTTGTGCTGACTATGGTAACATTTACGAAATATTGCCCCACATCCGGCGGCAGCCATTTTCTGCGGTGGCATTAGGGTTGCAGACCAGTAAATCGGTCTGAAATTGCCTACGCCGGCCAAATCACGATTTGCATGCCCTCAAAATCTTCAAAATTTGAGCATGCTGTGGGCCATGAACTTGAGGGTTTGTAAAAAATATGGGTGGAAGCCGTGCATAGGACTGTGAGCTTGTAGTTCCGTTCAATTTGGATGAAATTGGGGCCCTTAAAGCGCTCTATTTTGCAATGGAGTGTAGGCATCGTTTTTCAAAATGGCGATGGGCTTCAGGACTATTTTCAGGGGTGATCATCTTCGGATGGAAATTTCTCCTAAAAGTCATCAGTTGACCCCCCAAAAATTGAAAAGAAAATGAAAGATGATGAAATAAGCTTTAATTTGATGTATGTCTCGAACACCTTGGAGAGTTGTGAGTATTTTCCCCGAATTTCTGAAGTGGGAGCATTTACCATTGGGATCTGTGGAAGTTTATTTACTGGCCTGCAACCTTAGGCTCGCGCGAGTCGCGCTCAGGTAGTACGCACGCACTTCGGGCTCCTTCAGCCAATAGGAATACCAAAATGTGCGTGCGCGTTGCGCGTGATGAGTGCGAACACCACAGTAAAAGCCGCTTGTGTTTGCCGGATTCCACTGAAGTCTAAAGTGGGGTCTGCAGTCGTCGCGAGCATCTTCTGTTGAAAGCTCGGTCGTTACGGATCAATTCTAACTTGACAAGCCGTCGGCTGACGGCGGGCTTGATGTAGCTACTGCTGGTGAGGAAGGCTACGGATTTGCTAGCGCCCTCTCCCGACAGGGTCCCGGTCAGGATGTATTCTTTGCCGTCTGGAATGGAATTAAAAATAATTGTGAAACATAATAAGGCTGTTGGAAATATCTTCGTTTAGAACAAAACCAGACAATACCCTAATGTTGGATAAAATTGTTTCTGTTGTTGAAAACTTTGTATGAATTTGTAGAAAGTTCTTGAAGGAAGTCCAAATATTATTAATCGCATCTTTCCAAAACAGCTTATTTTTTAAAGACTTGCTTAGTTCAGTATGGACCTAAACTATTTATCAGTTGAAATGGTGTTAATAGCAGAATTGATTCCTAATAACATATTAAGTAAGTAATTCTTGAAACAAAGAAAGTCGTCTGCTGTAAAAATAGCTGTTGAAATTGGATGCTGTTGGAATTGTGTGCACTATAAACGGGGTTATGTTGCCAAAGATATGTCTCTTATGGGACCACGTTCTTCTCAACTCTTTTCTTTTATTTCTACCCTGTTAGGACGTTTCTTGAAAGAGGACTGTTCTCATTAAAGATTGTCAGGAAAATATCTTTGCTGCTTTTTTTTCTACCACATGTATAATATCACTGCAGTTCTTTACTTTTCGTTTCTGCATTCATAACGCTTTAATTTCTACGGAATGTCCCGGTCACGTAACGAAACGAAAGATGTATCCGGTTCACTAGTAAAAACGTCATACACGCGCGCGCACCACACTAGCGCCCATTGGCTAAACACTATAGGGTTGCGTTAACTTCCGGTTCCATTCGTGCATGCTACACCAAATGGCTACACCGTGTGAAGTACGCATGGTTGAATTGAGATGACGTCACACTAACGAGCCGGATAGTGAAATGACCAAGAAAAACTTATACCTTCCAGGTCTTCAAAACAGCGTCCCGAACACCCGTTCGATTCATGGGATCGACTCTTCGCAATGACAAGCGGTTCGTCGAGGAATCGAGATCGCCGGAGTGTCAGACCGTGGCCCTTGTAGCTCCTGGTCAGTTCCAAGACGACGGTCTTCAGTCGACCATCGGAAATCAACTGTCTACGGACGATGCCGGTGATCACTAAAAACACAGAAAGACATCAAAGAGACTGTGTAATTATCCTAATGATTGGGGACAGCATGCACACAAAATTAACACCTGTCCTCAAAGGAAATGCAAAACATCGCAGTCAGTGGAGGATTTTTCCAAATCTCGGTTTCATTTTTGGGTTTGGCTGCATCTCAGGCTCTAAAACCATGCTGTAAGTTGTACTTTTGGATCCAAACAAAAGTACTTCAACTTCTGTCCTCACAATTGGGATTCGATGTGTCTGAAGCAGAAACAAGTGGAGGCACGTCAAGTTGGAGGACCTCGGCTCAGGGACTAAAATCGTGAGTCTGAGGCTTGAAGCCGAAGTTGGAGATGAAGCCGAAATTTGAAACATAAAATTCTACAGGACACTAACCTGGGATGCTAGTACCTTTTAACACACAGTTGGGAACTCGGAACAGGACTATTTTGGTTATAAAGACTTGAAGTTTTGCATGGCGGATGAGGTAAACTAGAAAGTTTGCGGGTAACACCATGTGGAAAGTAATCTCTTCCTGGAAGAAGTGTGGTTCTGAAAAGAACCGGTTGGTTGACTGTAGAACTCACCCTCCTGAGGACGAACAGAGCACACTGTCCGAAACGTTGAGTTCTAAACTCAACCAACCGGTTCTTTTCAGAACCACGCTTCTTCCTAGAGGAAATTAATTTCCACATGGTGTTATCCGCAATCTTTCTACTTCGCTACTTTAGTTGTGATGTCATGTGCAATTTCTTCATGTACCAGCTTGAGTGCTATGAATTCGACGAGAAACTAACTTACCAAAGTCGCTGTCACAGTACGCTTCTGCTAGACTCGGAGTGCCGCAACGTTCGCATGGCTGTTGTGTATCTGGATATAAAATGGTAATAGGCGCCATATTAATTGGCGTAAATTGAGCCACTCTGAGCTCTTAATTTCAGTGTTAAATAAACAACATCAAATGTAGTGGAAATGCGTGTAAAATCTGTCGAAAGCTGACTCAATCTATGGTTTTTGTTTTGCAGGCTCTGTGCCCAGTGTTGCTAATAATTGTGAGGCCGGTGTCTGTCGGCACATTGTGGAAAACATCAACGTCATTGAGGAAAACATCAACTACATGACTGTGTTTACATGACGGTTTTAGCTGAGAAGTGCCAGCTGAGAATCGCAGGCTCTGTGTCGAGAACCCCAAGTTTCGATCATGCCCGATAATTTCCAGCTTTCGACCAATAGTTACCTACTATGAGCCGTCAATTACCGGCTTCGTGCCGACAGTCACCGGCTCTGTGCCGACAGTTACTTGCTTTGTGCTGTCAGTTACCGGCTTTGTGCCGAGATTTGCCGGCATTGTCCCGAGATTAGAATAGCCGATTACTTTACGTGTGTTTTCAGTTTTTTTCCTCAGTCGTGCAATTTAATAATACAGGAGGTGATTCCCAGTCGGGGCACAGCCACCGTGAACATACTCGAACCCAGACTGCCCTCTCTGTACCATATACCCATCTAGGACTCATACAGTAAACAGTTTGTTGAGCTTCGTTACCTGACATGCACGTCTGCGCACACTCCTCCTCAGTCAGGAAGTTATTCCCAGTCGGGCCGCAGCCGCCGTACACGAACTCAACGCATTTCTTGCTCTCTGTGCTGTAGGCCCATCTTGGAATCGAGGCCTTGCAACGCCCCGTGGCGATTGGATGGGAGCAGGGGTCACGTGGTAGCTCGGGGCATTCCCACTGGCACTCGTCGTAGCTGCGGAATCGGTTTGCGTTACCCTGACAACCGTTGTAGATGAACTGTCGGCATAGCTGCGTCTCGGTGTCGTAATACCTATCACGTGACAGAAACATGAAGAGTAGCAAGGTGAGTATTTCGACTGAATAAAACAAACAATCTTTATAGAACTGCTCAGCAGACCAGATTAGTACAAGTAGGCCTATGCAATGCACTTTTTTTGACCAAGTGGTGATGAATATTGAATATTCAGATCAAGAATTCCACAACTTGTGGACAGAGGCGTCAAGCAACATAAAGAAGGCAATGTAGACGAAAATGTTCAGCTTTTTTATATCAGTAGGGGGGTCTATTTCATAGGGATGTGTGTGCATTGCTTTAGTTGTGCTGAAAGAACACTTACTTTTTTGTGATTTGTGGAAAGAACTTTAAAACGGTGCTTGTGTTTACAATTCCGTAACTTAAAAAGTACATGAGTGATTTGAATGATTCTTGTACTATAGAAAGCTAATGAGTTGGGCTTTCATATCCTAGATTTTTGAAAGTGCTACATGCAGAACTTCACTAAAACAATGTTTCCGGCATTTTGGGTTTCGGTTTTTTGGCTCACCCTGTAGTTGCACTCACCATTTAGTTTCCTTTCTCGAGCAGTTCCCCTTGTCCAGCGGCAAGTAGCAGGCATCGGACATCTCTTCTCCATTCGGTTTGGTTGTAACGACGACCTCTTCTTCGCACCGAGGTCCCGTAAACTCGGACGAGCAAATGCACTGGTACTCCCCCTCCAAATCCTCACAGCTACCGCCGTTGTGGCACGGATTGCTAACGCACGGGCTCGCCCTTTTTTCGCAGTGCCTACCCTCCCAGCCTTCTGCGCACGCGCAGAGAACAGCATCACCGTCATCGGGGACGCAAGTGGCGCCATTTTGGCAGACGTTTGGATGTCGCTGGCAAGGGTCTGAAGGTTCAGTGCAGTTCTCGCCTGTTGGTGAATACAGAGAAAAATTGGCAATGAGCCATAATAAAGCAGAATAAAGAGTCGATGGCACTCTTTAAAACAGCGAATGCTGGCTTGAAAATAGTCCAAAGTCGAACTGCAACTCAATTTAAAGTTTCCCCGTTAGATGAAGTTGAATATTCAGTCTTTGGAGACTTGCCAAACGCGTGATTACATGCTAGTTTCTCATGATCAAAACAACAAACCTTTGAAACCATCTGGACACACGCAGCGGAAGCTTTGGTCCTCCTCGACGCATGTCCCACCGTTCATGCAGGCGTGGTTGCCACAACCGTCCGCTGGACTTTCTTGATCGGTACCTAATGAAATCCAGACCAAGTTCGATTGAGGATTATCGGTTGACTAGTTGCTGAATCGTGACACAAGTGGCGCATGCGCGCTAATGTTCGTGCGAGCGCTTCTTTGTCGAAAGATGATTTAACGTCATCATGAATATTCTCGGTCTAGCTCCCTTAAGTTTATAATTGTGCGGCTGTCGACAACCAGTGATGCGACCAACCTCAGCTGGTCCCGCCACTCCACTAGACCCCCTTTAGTTAACTAGCGTGTGTTCGGGCAAAGGCATTCAAACTGTAGCTATCAATGCATGTAGTTTGCGCTCGAACTTACTGAGTCCAAGGGTTGATTCTTGGCCATGCATTTCACCTTCTGTGCGGATCTCAGATCTAACAAGACACCGCTCGGCTCAAACGCCAAGCTTCAGCTTCAGTTCCCTGCATTGTATGTGCGTGTCTTTCAGACAACACATATTCTAGTACAATTTCACTTAAGACTAGCTAACTTATAATTGACTTGTGATTACGTGAATCCTGTGATTACGAGTAAAGACTTGACAAGTGTGATTTGACATCCTCATTCTCATGGTACCTGGTTTCTCTGTCACCGTGACCACGTAGGTTTGCGTCAGGTAACCCTTCGAGTGTCCCCCGAAGCAGACGAATCTCTGGGAGTCCTCCAGCGTTGCCCCGTTAATCTCCAGCCGGGAGCCGCCGTGTGATACTACAGGGTGAAAATGTAAAGCTTTGTTTAAAACTACCATTGGATAAGAAGAAAGTAAAGTATGTCATGATGAAATAGACCCTTTGCATTTTAAGCAGCTATCCTGGAGGGACTGTTTTGTTATTTTATTTCAGTAAAAATGAATAAAGAACAAGGGGTCTAACTCATGCGTTTTCCTGCGGATCAAAAACGTGCCGCAATGTTGGCGCTAAGACAAATGATCTTAATAACTCATTAGGTCTGCGTTTGTCTCTGGTCTGGCATGAAACGACTGAGAATACATGTTTTCCTATTGCCCCAGGAGGAAAATAGATTATGCTGGTATACCTTTCTACTCCTTGGTGGAGAAAGGCAAATATAAGGGTGCATGAAATGGCTTTCTCCGAGGACACAACATACGTTCAGCAGCTGGATTCGAACTCCCGACCCTCTGCCATGAGCTGCTAATCCCTACCAACAAGCCACACTCTCTGTATTGATTGATTTAGTGACTGATTATGTCAGCAAAAACCACATGTAGTAGCCCCCACAGCTTGCTTTCAAAAATTGTTTTATCTGTAAACTCTAAAATATCGGCCTTACCTTGAACAGTTGCTGGGGATATGGCTGGATACTCAATGGAAAGCCTTAATTGTTACAGTCTAGTCAGTTTTTGCTACCATCTTGTTTTACAAATTCGGAAAATGCATCATCGTAGTATTAATACTTATAACTAGCCCTATTGGTATACAGTGAGTATTGCCACGGCAGAAGCCGACTTCATTAAGATCTTAAGGCCACCGTCCCTAGCTTACCTCGTTTGTTATCTGTCGGTGGCACATCGGACCACGGGAGATATCCGACGCCTATCTGCACCATCCAGAAAAGCAAAAGCGGCTCGTCCGCGGACGTGGAGACTTTGCAGTGCAGGACCAAGTCCTGACCAACAACGGCCGATACGTTGACGACGACATCCCCCTGAAGGTACAAATCTGATGACAAGATATAGTCTGTAATCGAAGTAACCAAGGAAGGCACGTGTGTTCTAGCGGTAGGCCTAGAGCATAGGATTCACGATCGTGAGATTGTGTGTTCGAGCCCTGTCGTGGCCAAGCGTGTTGCGCCCTTGAGTAAGGCGCTTTACCTCAATTACTCCCCTCAACCCAGGTGTTAAATGGGTATCGGCATTATTCAATGCTGGGAAGGTAACAGACTCGCTGTGGAGGAGGTGTGGCGATCCCCCACAGCAGCATGTCATGGACTCGAGTCTGGCCAAATCGCTCCAAAAGAGAGATGGGCACTCTGTTCCTGTGAACACAGGTTCGTCCCCTTTACCTTTACTTTTTTTTATTCAACGAACAGAGGTAAAGGTGTGTCTCGGTCGCATTTTGAAAGCTTGTGATTTGATTTGAGACCGGTTGATGTGTGACGACTTGATTGCAAATTGTGAGACAAGACACACCCATGAACTTATATTGATATTGGAGGTTCCGTGCAGGGACATTTTTACAAATTGATGGAGGTCTACTTGTGAGCCCCTGAGGTTGACAGAGCGTGTTTCTGAGGTGTCATTTTGTGTCTTTGTCTTTTATAAAGAGATTGTGGACTTTTCTTGTGCTGTTGCTTCACGTGCCTATATCTTCAGATCACCCAACTTGGATCGCTGATATGGAAGCTTATTTGAAGTTGTGAAGTGAAAATCTGAATGTTGCCATTTCAAACCTGGATGGATATCGAGGGTTCACTTTTAGATGCTGTTGAAAACAGTTACTCCTGAAAATGATTTTGGATCACATTTTGCAATAGCAAAATCCATCAATATACCCACATATTCCGAATTATTAAGTGAAAAATCTATAATGAATGAGAATCTCGCCGTTTCCTCTCCCATGGCCTAGGTTCGAATCCCACTAAAGTTTCAGGGTTTGGATTCCATGTCTGCATCATCTTTTTTTTCCGTTTGTTCAGGCTTCCAATTTGTTTCTAGCAAGTTTTTTGATCGGAAAATATTTGAAAGGGTACTGAAACTGTTAAAGAAGGAGGCTCACCTGAATCTCCAGTGTTGTCAGGGGAAGTTGTAGCTACCGTACCCCTGGTTGTAGGAACTGTTGGTTGTGGTTGTGTGGCTTAAACAAAAACAAACAGAGGAGGTATTAAAATGCAAGTCCCTTTACAATCACGGTAAGAAGTTTGGATGGTGGAGTAATTAACAGTGGAGTGTGTGTGTTTTAAAAACACGGTACTACATGCTTATCTCTTTAAATTGTTTGCATTACTGGTAGATAGTAGATGGTGGTTAATTGCTCGGTCCCATATTTTGAAAGGGTCCTGCAAATGTTCAAGGAGGCCTACCTGGATTTCCAGTGGTTTTAGGGGAAGTTGTAGCTTCTGTTGTCTTGGCAGTAGACACTGTTGTTTGTGGCCGAATGACTTCTAGAAACCGTTAAAAGAAAAGGAGGTATTACAATAAATCTCTTTACAACTACAGTAAAAACAATTTCAGAAGTTTGGATGGTCCAAAATTGATAGCGGAGTGTGTTTGTTGAAAACATGGTACTGCACGTTTGTCTCTTTTGCATGACTGTATTTAAGATGGCACTTCTTGGCAGAACCGAATGGTCGCACTGTACGTTCTGATCAGTATGCTTTGGTGACATATCATGTACGCATCAAATTGTCGACCTTGGAGAAGAGAGTGTTATGGGTTTTTAAATGAATTAAGAAAATATGATGTATTTGGCTTCGTTTAGCTTGTGATCGACTGTTTGGTGTCGTAATCACCTGTGTTGTCACCGGTATCTGCAGCAGGCGTGGTTACTGGCTCTGTCACTGGACGAGTTGTGGTGGATTCATCTGTAATAGAAATGACAATCTAGTCTTCAGAGAAGGATTGAAATGTTTATTTTCCAACCCTTTTTCGAGGCAAGTATGGCATATGATACATTGAGTATGTAGAGATGCAAAGGGGCGTCAGGTTGACGCAGTATTTCTTCGCCTTCCCGTGTGGCCTCGGCCAGAATCCTGCCCAGACCGTCAAGTGGATTTTGTTTTCAGTGCCTATAGACGAATCCTTGCACGTGCCCACTGTACACTCACGAGGCCCCCTTTAATGTAGAAACCATTGTGCATGCTATTATACAAAGCAACTGTCATTATCTGAACAGTAGCTATAGCACAATGCTTTCGCCATTGAAGGGGGCCTCCGTGATAGAATTGACAGCGTGCCCGGATTGGTCTAAACATTATTCAATGCGGGGGTTTCGCCGTGCAACATAATTCCGAGGTTTTTGTAAAATTGTGGAACAGGAATTCGTCGACTTATCTTTGTAGACAGTCTTCTTCAATCTGCACGCGTTCGATCGAAATTGCGCTATGCACGCTTTTGAGAATTCCTCGGTCTCATTAGTATAGTGCTTTTTAGATGAATAAGTATACATGTACATAGATAAATTAAAAAAAAGGAAGGAAGTGAAAGGCCGACAACATGAGAATACATGTGGTCATGAGATTGCTATGTGTCTGTCCGGCCTGTGAGGCTACCAAATTGTTAGCAAAATGACAACCTGATTCTTTTCTTTTCAAATTTCGAGGGCACAAAGTAACCAAATAGAAACCAATTCACTTCGGCCGGAAAACGTTGTATTTAACAAAAGAGCGCTGAATCCTGACGTACGTGCTTCTATATAACAAGACTCGATCGAGATAAGCCTACATCAGGGCCCAATATAAACAATTGCAGGAAACTCGTTGCTGCATCCGGGTTTTAGCCACAAAACCTAGTTGCCCTGACCCACTTAGGCCTATATTTTTCCGTTTTTCATTTTGGCCAAGGCCGGTGCTATATCAATCAGTCAATGACAATGAGTGCGTTATATACAGAGTCCTATGCAGACCACCTTTCTATGCTGCAGGCAAATGTACCCTCGATGAATCGGAACTACAATCGCACATGGGTGTTTATTTTTTCCGAAACACCAAACTAGTAAGAACGCAAAAGTGTAGGACTTTCATGTTTAGGGGATAATACAACGATGGAAAATATTTCTCTTATAATTATGTGACTTGTATACGTTAATTTCAACAAAATTCGCCACACGATTCTGTCTTAAGAGAGACTTTTATCAAAGCCAAAAAAGCCTTGTCATTTGCCTTTCCTACTGGTCTTCCCTATAAAAAAAAAAAACCGAATCGCTTTGGGCTATGCCAGCTAATTTTGCCGAGTTGTACATGTAATATGTTTCAGGTCAGTCCAGTCAGTAAGCAGCTAGCTTGCAGCAGTTGATCAAGTTCAATCTTACATTTGGGAACTCTGACTGTGTTTGTTTGTTTGTCATCATAAGTTGTTGTAAAAGTGAGGGAGGAAACTTCCTAGCGAGCTCCCTTGATGATGGGCCTGACGACTATACACGTACCTGCATTTTCCGTAGTCTCAATGCAAGCCGTTCCACCACAGTGATCCGGGCAGCATCGCTCGGTGCCCGGGCACTCCAGATCAAAGAGGCAGTCAAGGGCACAGACGGACGGGCTGAACATGGAGACTACTGGTTCAGTGGGGCAGGTCCCAGGCTTGGATAGATCTGGAAAGGAGATAGATAAATAAATTATTGTAAAAGAATGTCCCGTTTCAACAACAATGTCAAATTGATTAACCACAACCCCACTTGGTCTCAATGATGTCTACGTCTGCTATAGTCAACAAAACGCATGGAACGAGTTTTGATCTTCAAACTAGCAGTAATTAATCGTAACTCTAACTTATTAACTGAAACAATAATGGGCGTCGCCAGGATTTTTTTCTAGAGGGGGCAAAACATATTTTTTTACAAAAAAAATCCTGTATTTCTCAACATATTCTTGATTTATCAGTTTTAGAGGGGGAGAGGGGGCCAGGGACATTTTTCCCCTTCACCCATTAAATTTACACTATTATGACTTTGCGCCATTTTTTTTTTTTTTTTTTTTTTGCTTTTCCGGGGGGGGGGGCAAGCGGAAACAATGGAAACAATAATTAAGAATCGAATATGTGATATGTATAAAAGCAGATACCCCCCGGGTTATAGCTAATCTGTCAGAGGTATAAGATTTCCGTTGAATATTAATATTAAAGTTTATAGGGCGACGATAGACAGTGGCAAAATTCGTTAATTTAAAACAAAATTTGGAAAAAAAAGTTCTTCAAGTGGTATATGTTGTCTCTTACTTCAATTTCCCTGGAAAAAATTACATAAGAATCCTCCATAAAATTACAAATGATTAAAACACCCTGAAATCTGTATCGCACATCGCTTAACATCAAGTGATCGAAGTTCATATTGAAACTAAAGAATGTAACTAATCAAACACATAATTCTCTCCTTACCTATATCTCCACTGCGAGGGTCCTGCTTTTTCTTACCAACCAATCCAGATACCCCCTTCTCCACGGGATTGCCTCTGACCGACAACAAACACATCATGGCGAGCACAAAAGAAACTTTTAGAATTTTTGTATGCCCCTTCATTTTGGCAAAGGCATACAAACCAAGAACGATCTAACCTTTTGCTGTACACTATTTCTGGATACTATACGACGTTTGCTAGTTCAAACACGATAGGCCTGTTAGTTATTCCCCCGGTGTCACTTGTTCGTTCGAATGACGTTTCGCTGCGGCTGACGTGAACTATAATTTCCAATCCAATCTGCCGTTGTAAAAGTTGCCCAAAATGGCCAACGACGTCGTCCTGTAGTTTGTGATCAACGAAGGTTTTCGTTTGGTTACTCGAAGTCTCCCACTATGTCCTCAGTATTGCCACGGGTAGTTGCGGAAGTTCCACAGCAGATAGATTCCTACTTTTCTAATGCAGCCACACTTTCTTGTCTAGGGTCAATGCCGGAACGTGACCGATAAGGCACGTGTATGCATAGGCTAATATCTTGTCAGACGGGAATTACCGTGACTCGAGATATCCCTCTCACTTCGAATTCAGATTTAGGCAAACAAAGCTGCGGCCTTTTCTTACGATAACTCTTCAATTTGCGTGGTAAGAGCTGAAAATCAAGAGAGCGACTGAAACAGTACGGTGTCAAGTCTCTTTGAACTTCCAAGAATAACCTTTAGTGATCAAGGACCGGATCACAGAGCAGCCTATATCGAACACAATGTGAGTGGGCGAGCATACAGGCCGGATCCGAACCAGCTCTACCAGGAAATGCGTAGTGAACTCGTTCACAAGTTATCAAGCTGGCCTCGTGTCACTGAATCACCACTTCTTGCAATGGACTTCCGCGCCTCACGACCCGCACCTTTCACCCCTTTCTTTTCATCAGGAGTCGCTTGCTTGTTATTACCCAGGAGTATAGATCCTTTGTGTCAGTCAAGGATACAAAACTGACGTCATCCTTGGGAGCACGGCCTTTTGTGTTTCTAACTTGAAGAAAGGATACAAGATTAAGTCACTAGATGCTCGCTGATCGGTGATTCTGATGAGTGGGCATCGACATCTACTGCTGGGGATGTGCTCATGCCATCAGTGCCGGTCAAGTTCCCTATTTATTTGACTGTCGTTCAACCCTAATGATATAATTTGTCTAAGTTCGCACCCAAATCAAAATGAAATTTATAGCAAAGCTATCCTGCCGACTACGCCAAGTGTAGCCGGGGAGAGCGAAAAAAAAAGTTTTAAATGGGTCACTCTCCACCCAACCAAGTGGTTCCACTAAAAATGAAATTTGGGTAAAGCGAAATCGTCTGGTTGTCTCAAAATATGACAATACGTATATAAACAAATTTCGAGTAAGAGTAAGTACTAAAACCCGACCTGGTTACATTATGTTGTTTGTATTCAGGCAAAAGTACGCATGAGCACACACGAACTGCATGTTCTTACAAACCATGCATCGCAAAAATACCGGCGGGCTACACGCAGCACGATTCTTCGCTTGCCTGCGTCCGGCAGATCCCCGCACGTGCACGGATGCGCATCACAACATCAATCCCAGCAGCATGCGCTAGTGTGTTCAATGATAATCTGGTCATTTCTTGGAAGACACAAGGATTTGTTGTGCCCCAATGGTGTGAGTCACAGAGTTGTGACAAAGGTTTTCTCGACATTCTTTGCTGACAATTTCCAAGGCACAAATGAAAAGTATATAGGCCTACATGTACCATGAAGCAATAAAAAGTTTACAAGCTGGTATCAATTAATTACATAACAGGTAACACTGATGTTTTCACCGCAAACTTTATTTTCAACTGCGGAAACTCTCAGGGAGCCATTGTGTCGATTACGTACGAGTCAAACTTGGTCACGCAATCGCACTCATCTCGCACGGCATTGTACAGAATATAGAGTAACTTAGTAATAATCTAGCCAACAGTCAACCGCGTACCAATATAAAGTAGGGTACTGAAATAGTCGCATTGAAATATCCGAATGGACTTTATTCACGTGTCAGCCATATTAAATTGAAAGCGAGGTAAAACTCTTTACTATTGGAACTTGCAAGTATGAATGAGAGCAATAAAATAAAAGCTCATTACAAAGTTATACCCGACTCTGTTCTGATGAATAATTCAAAATGTGTGATCATTAAACATAGCCTAATGTCTTAAGCCACATTCCAAGTGAGGCTTGGAACGCACTCACATCATAAAATAGTCTGGCACCATCCCATTCAACAGTTTACAATTTATAAAATAGATTCAGCGAACAATACCAAAAATGGTTCCTCGTGAATATGGTCTACAGACTAACCCTTATATAACTATGTTGACTTTTTCAAACTTCAGTGCAGTTTTGGATGTACTAAGCAAGATACTCGTCAAGCTCTGTTCTACATAGTCTAACTACTTATAATGAAAATACATACAGCTGGTTCCTTGTAACACAAGTAATATACAACAAATAAGAAGATAAGCCTTAGTTTCAGACATCGATCGTTAAAACCAACGAATACAGTTCATATACGAGTTTACTTGAGTGACTGATTAAGTACAATTCTAGGGAAACATATAAGGCACGTTTTTAACACGGTTGTGACGTAAAACTATTTGGTTTTCAGAATACTTGGGCTTGAAAATTTCATTTCCCTTAAAGGGAAAATACAACATTTGCAAACATAAAAACACGAAATGATCAAATTATCACGGAATACCTTACTGAATTGTTAGGGAATGACAGTCTAAAGCATCCTGTTTAAATCGTGGCTCCTGGTGTGCTGACATTTTCAAGAAAACGTGTATTTTTCCAAAGCTGGTCGGCCGACCAGCGTTGGAAAAAAAACTGGCTTTTTTTTCAAAAACTGTACCTAATTTTTCATATCGCATTTTCTTTGCAACTGATTACACACCTGTGAAGGGGTACAAGCCTGTTAGACTGATTCTTTGACCTTACAATTCCCCAAGGTCTATAAATTGATCCGTTTCATCTCAAGTGGGGTCAGGGAACCAGACTACAAGAACATTGGTTTTCTTGGTTTTTCCAGCATCTACAAGCCCAAAACATGAAACAAGTCAGTTTAACAATATTTGCTATGTCAAGCTAATCCTCCAAATCCATTGTTTTCTGAAAATTGAAGCAAAAACAAATGTTGTACATTCCCTTTAAAAGCCTACTGTATAATGGTTTAGAATTATATCATGTTTCTAAGTTATGCATATCTTTGCTTGTAATACAAGTACAATTAACATAACCTCCATGACACTAACATTTTATCTCGCATTCGTCACATTCGTGTTTTTTTACTTTGAAGGTGGGTATGCTAAAACACATAAACGACTGCCTTTGTTTCAGCAGAAGACTTGCGTTAAAAATGCTGAATTCATGTCTTGTCGAAAACAACTCAGAAAACTAAACTTTTAAAAACACAAATTCTGGAAAATAACAATTGGAGTTGTAACTTGCAGTCAAGTTCTAAAAGTCAATCACGACCGTTTAGACTAATCAATCACAAATCATGCAGTCTCAGGTGAACCAATTAACAAGCTATAGGTAAACTGCTGAATAAGAAAGTTAGCCCAGTGTCATTTCACGTTATTTGTGATGACTTGTGATTGACTTGTGATGGACTTTTCGCTTTGAGTTAGTTGGAATTGACCTGGCTCTATCTTTACTAAGTGCATGTATAATCAAACGTATAACCGAATTGAACAATATTGTACTACTAAAACAAAAATACAAATAATAAAGAGCTGTCCAACGCTTCATGAAATCGACGTTTCAACACATGCATTTTGTCTGTATACAAGCAGAGAACAAACAGTCATTCTTTTTATCTCAGTTTTTTCACACTGGGTGAGTTCAACTGGGTCAAACGGACGCGAAGGTTCAAACTCCAACTTCCTTTCCTATACGTGGCTATATAGACTTCCTTCCAGCCGTCACTATTTGTGCCAAGATGGTGAGATGGGCGGGGACGGCATACCCTCTTTTGAGCACTGTAACAAAGAGTATTGTGACGTCATTATGACGACAGAAATATTAGTATTACAATAAACGTATAAAAATTTCAAAGGTATGGCCAAAAAAAAAAAAAATTGACCTCACTAATAGATCGATTGCATACAGCTGCCATCTTGGAGGCGTGTTTTGTTATGCTAATTTATTAACAATGAATGCACAATAGGTCTACTCGTGCCTATATCCCTGTTGAACAAAAGCACACACCTCATGCTGCCGTGCAGTGCGAACGAGCTACAGGTCAATCGTGCACTGTCCGCTGAAGCGAAACATTAAAACCCGAATCTGTTCACACTGCACTGTACTACCCCTCATAGAGTTCAAATTTAACATTACACTGATGTATTCATAAGATGGAATGTTTGCGTCGGGCTGATGTAAATCAAACTAGGGTTGGCCTTCATCGACGTATAAACACTGTATACTCAGTGTGTTACCTCCCGAGTGAAAGTTGGAAAAATCACTCGGGTGGGACTCGATCGAACCCACGACCTCCTGCTTTCTAGAGCAGATGTCTTACCACTCGACCACCGAGATCGGTTGGCTGGTTCGAAACTGATGTACATAGCAGCGGGTACCGCAATAACTATTTATAAGATAAGATTTTTGCGTCGGGGTGATGTCGGGGTGAAACTAGGTTTGCCCTTCACCGAACGTATAAACACTGTATACTCAGTGTGTTACCTCCCGAGTGAAAGTTGGAAAAAATCACTCGGGTGGGACTAGCCTTGACCAAGGCGTTGGGCTTATCGATTCGCCGATAAAAAAAATCGCCGATAAGAAAATCCCTAATCAACTTGGCAAGGCATAATTGCGTGCACATATCGATGCCCGTACGCTGCTAGTGAGAAAGCAACTTGTACCATACAGCAAGGCTATGCTTGTACATGTACGTACGCACGTACATGTACATCACACACGTACTCGTACAACAGCCATGCACGTACACACAGTACTGTACATGTACATGTACATGTACATGTACATGCATGAGCTAGTCCGCGTAACCCAACGCCTTGATGGTTTTGAGTTGACCCAGCAAAACCTATTACGGTAATGAGGTACCACCCCCGCGTATATACTGAATTCTCATTGGTCAGCCCGCGATAGGCTAACAAACACGTCGCATCCGCGAAGAAACGCTGCAATGGCGGCCCGTTGCTGTGGGTGAAAGTCGTTCAGTCCCAGTCTGTCCGAAGCAGTATTGAAGGCTCCAACGAATTCTGCAGGTAATGCTGTCATTAGACGATCGTTGCCCACTCAAATGGATTCATTACACGAGCCGAAAAACTCGAATCAATGTCAAATTGTTGAAAAAGTGACGAACATTTCGCTCTCGCTAAAAAGACATGGAAGACGCCATGATGACTAATGCATTATGCATGCCGCGCGACGTCACATGATTCTTGTGAAGCTTACGATTGGTCAGCTTAGAAATGAATTAATCATACTATTGGGAAGGTTGTTTCATGTGATTGGTCCAAGACGAACCTACATAATCATCACGGCATACCCGCATACCTGAAGCCCGCCCATTTTTTTCCAAAACTGGACGAAAAAGTAAAGAAAGACATTAAACCCGGAAGTTGCAGACCCAACAAGGCGGTCGTTCGACAGGCCACGCGGCGCGTATATCCCCCACACGTACGTACGTACACCCACACGCAGAACATAGTAGGCCTACATTTACTGCCTTATTACACCATGCGTACAGTCCGTACTCACGTGTTTGTGCTTGCTGGTTGTGTTAGTACCAAACCGTTCGTACGGAAAAGGGTCGGTGGTACGGTACACGCACGGACAAGGGTCGGTGGTACACGCACGTAGCCGCGTTGATTGTGGGTGCAGGGCCCGATTATCTCCCTTCGACAAAAAGCCGAGAGACCGCATTGAACAAGGCTAGGGTGGGACTTGAACCCACGACCTCCTGCTTTCTAGTGCAGACATCTTACCACTCGACTACCGAGCTAACGGGATCGGTTGGCTGGTTCGAATGTGATGAACATAGCAGCGGGTACCACATTAACTATTTATAAGATAAGATTTTTTTTGCGTCGGGGTGATGTAAATCAAACCACGTCGGTGAAGGGCAAAACCTAGTTTAATTTACACTGATGTAGTGTAAAATTTGGACTCTTCGAAATATGGACTCCTTAGCTTATTGCGCATGCCTAATTGAAGATAATTGGGACAGACAGGTCACGTGTGGGGAGGTAAAAGAGACCAGCTTTCATAGGCGTTCAAATTTTACACTACACCGGCTATACTTGTACTCACAGGCGTGTCGAGTGTGATGGTGTCCAGCGGGTATTTCTGGTAGTAGCCGATGAGGGCGTCGAGGTCGGCAAAGTCTCGGTCACGGATCTTGAGCGTCCGGCCAGTCTTACGGATGTCGTAATCAACCACCATGCCGTTGTCACTTAAAATCAATGACAAACCGAATTCAGCTTAACATATTGGATACAAGACTTTGATAAGACGGTGATGATGAGTAGTAGAAGGGCGACAAAGGTATGACCCCCCCCCCCCAAAGTTGACCTCAAATTTTAATAAATCGATTGCATATTGTAGTGTTACCGTGACGGACGCATATGCAGTGGTACAGGTTCGATATGGAGAGGGCATTGAGCTTTTGTTCTTTGGCAAGACACTTTACTTTTTACGTTGCCACGGGTATTATGCAAGGAGGAATAGATCCTTATCATGCTGCCACCATTTCAGTCACGTTGTTCAGTCACGTTGTTAGGCAACAATGGGAAGGGTATAGGGAGATGGGGGGGGGGGTTACCCCTCTGTCTCATATCGTGCTGGGTATATCAAATGAAGTCATTCCTTTGTTCTTGTTCACCCGTTACTTGTGACTAGACTTCTGTGAAAGGACTTGTGTTTTATAAAACAAAGAACTTGTAATGGACTTGTGGTGGACTCCACTAACAACACCGTTGCCTATCTGCTGGCTTGTCTGTTCATTTGTTGACCGCAAAGTCGAAGCTAAAGTGTCCGTCACTTTCGTTTATCAAAAAAGAATAAACTTTCGTTTATTACAAAAGGACAGTTTAATTGAAGAGCTAGGGTACGTGTGGAAAATGTTTTTTTTTTATTTCAGTATCGATCGGCTTACTTCATGGAGATGACGTAGCTTCCTCTAGATGTCTCGTTGTCTCGCACCAGGAAAGTACCGGACATTGTACCGGCAAGTCTCTCGTGAGCAACATCCTTCGTCACCTTCCCGAAATACCAAGCACTGTCGCGATTGAAAAAAAGAAAGATATCAAATCGCTCTAATCTTTTCTTGATATCCGGAATGCACTCTTGGAAAATCACAGTCAAAAACACTGACTAGTTTCTAGTTATTGTGAGAACGACTAGCATTATTCAAGGAAGTGCGCCCTCGCGTGACGAAGTTTGACGTGCGAGGGCGCTCTGAATGAATTTCAACCACAGCCGTAACCAAAACAACGCCGCGAAACATTGACCACATAAGTCTTGAACCGAGACTAATTCAGTATCGGTGAACAATGCACGCTGAAAGAACATCTGGAATGATAAACGCTACGCTCAGCCTGTGTTTTCAGACAGGTTTTTAGTGTGTTTGTTAGCGCGATACACAGAAGGAATTATGGAAACGTTCAGCTGTGGCAACTAACCCACAGCTGCATTGGTAAAATAATTCACGAACAATAAACACGAAGTAAATGTTATTTATCTCAATACTGATTTCCATATGAATACATCAGAGTTAAATAAATGCCAAATTAATCTGATTACCAAGAAAAAGACAGGGGAACGAGACAAATCGTTCATTACGAAAAAAAGAACATTTCTGATTCTAGTCATTTGTTTACATTGTACCTTCAGAGTTTTAAGTCGGCCACTTTCTGTTTTTAAAAGGCATATAGTTTATTTTACAAAGACAAAATGTCAATATTGTCTGACCTGTGGGGAAAGCAAACGGAATGGATATTTCCTTTAACAATATGTCTGAACCTGACAAAACAGAAATAAGGTTGCACTACACCAAGTACGTGCTCATATATAGGAAACAACGTAAAAAAGGACACAAAGGGCTACAATAATATTGGACTACAAAGGCCTTTGGGATCACAATATATAAATGAGCTCGCACCCCTTCATTTACAGCTTTTTGGTGGTATGCACCCATCCGGACTGTACACCAAAATATCTTCATGCCCCTTCATTACATCTGTTACACGCCCCAACTAAAGACGATGGTCCCATCTTAAGTTGGGACCATCCCAACTGAAGTGTAGCCCAAGCTATAGACGATGGTCCCATCTTAAGTTGGGACCATCCCATCTGAAGTGTGGCCCCAGCTATAGACGATGGTCCCATCTTTATAGTTGGGACCATCCCATCTGAAGTGTAGCCCAAGCTATAGAGGATGGTTTCATCTTCGACCATCCCAACTAAAGTGTGGCCCCAGCTATAGACGATGGACCCATCTTAATAGTTGGGATTATCCCGATTGAAGTGTGGCCCTAGCTATAGACGATGGTTCCATCTTAATAGTTGGGACCATCTCATCTGCATGAAGTGTAGCCCAAGCTATAGAGGATGGTCCCATCTTGGACCATCCCAATTGAAGTGTGGCCCAAGCTATAGACGATGGTCCCATCTTAATAGTTGGGACCATCCCATCTGCATGAAGTGTAGCCCAAGCTATAGAGGATGGTCCCATCTTGGACCATCCCAATTGAAGTGTGGCCCAAGCTATAGACGATGGTCCCATCTTAATAGTTGGGACCATCCCATCTGCATGAAGTGTAGCCCAAGCTATAGAGGATGGTCCCATCTTGGACCATCCCAATTGAAGTGTGGCCCCAGCTATAGACGATGGTCCCATCTTAATAGTTGGGACCATCCCATCTGCATGAAGTGTAGCCCAAGCTATAGAGGATGGTCCCATCTTGGACCATCCCAATTGAAGTGTGGCCCCAGCTATAGACGAAGGTCCCATCTTAATAGTTGGGACCATCCCATCTGCATGAAGTGTAGCCCAAGCTATAGAGGATGGTCCCATCTTGGACCATCCCAATTGAAGTGTGGCCCCAGCTATAGACGATGGTCCCATCTTAATAGTTGGGACCATCCCATCTGAAGTGTAACCCAGTCTATAGACGATGGTCCCATCTTAAGTTGGGACCATCCCATCTGAAGTGTAGCCCAAGCTATAGACGATGGTTCCATCTTAAGTTGGGACCATCCCAACTGAAGTGTAGCCCAAGCTAAAGACGATGGTCCCATCTTAATAGTTGGGACCATCCCAATTGAAGTATGGCCCCAGCTATAGACGATGGTCCCATCTTACGTTGGGACCATCCCATCTGAAGTGTAGCCCAAGCTATAGACCATGGTCCCATCTTAAGTTGGGACCATCCCAACTGAAGTGTAGCCCAATCTATAGACGATGGTCCCATCTTAATAGTTGGGACCATCCCAACTGAAGTGTAGCCCAAGCTATAGACGATGGTCCCATCTTAAGTTGGGGCCATCCCATCTGAAGTGTAGCCCAATCTATAGACGATGGTCCCATCTTAAGTTGGGACCATCCCATCTGAAGTGTAGCCCAATCTGTAGACGATGGTCCCATCTAAATAGTTGGGACCATCCCAACTGAAGTGTGGCCTCAGCTATAGACGATGGTCTCATCTTAAGTTGGGACCATCCCAACCGAAGTGCTCCAGTTGAGTTGGGACGGCCCTAACTTAATAAGTTGGGACCCATGGTCTAGTTGGCGCGTAACACATGGTTTAGTTAATGGTGTGGCAATCATGGACACAAGCCATAGGGTGGCAGCATGAGGTTGTTTAAAGGGTCCAATGATGAACTGAATTTTTCTGAGGAATAAATTTTGTGCAAGTTTTGGTTATTGAAAATATTTGCGAGAAAAGTTTGCTTATTGGCACCATGTACTGATACATCGAATCACCAAAGAAAATCTACGACGGTGAAATATCCAAAACCTTTGTGCTGAAATAGCTGTAACATTGATGTTTCTGCCAAAAATCACATCACACTCTTGCTCATGAATATAGAAATTCGCATGAGCATACAAAAAACCGCTACCAAAATACCCTTGAAAATGGCAAAACGAAAATTGAAAACAGGTTCAATGGGACACAAAGGTGCATTTCCAAGGATTGCATTGCTCTTTAAGACCCTTGCATATTTTATAAAGGGGAGGATGGGTTGCACTCAACCCATGGCCTATCTACCCAATGTCAAGTGCTTGTAAGTTCGGCACAACAGCCATCCACAATACAAAATTCGAACCCCCTTTTGACAAAATCAACACAGCCAACAGAACAAAGTACACCCGTGACTTCAGCTCGTAAATTACAGTTGAGGGCTAAGTGGGTCAATATCCGTAAAACGTGTCAGATGCCACGTCTGATCAAACAGCAGATTTTAGGTAAACAAAATAAAATGCCGTAAAATATTTTAACCTTATTTCATGGCGGTGCAAAGCAGAAAGTATTCCCTACTTTACCAGAAATTATTCCTTCTATAGTTTATTTCATGCGCTACGCAAAAATCATCTGGGAACCAGTTTATACAAGGTATACAGGGTGAGTCAAAATAGGGGGCGCCATTTGGGTTTCCTCTTTTTGACTCACCCTGTATAGGCTTCCAATAACTTTAGATGCTTTGATTTCGTGTTAGGCAGCGCCATGAAATTGGCTACTTGGTACTCCAATTCACATCATACAATATATAGGGCGGTGCAAAAAGGAGGAAACCAACTTTTGACAGGAATTTTAACCTACTTACTGAACTTATCTGAACTGTTTTTTTTTTTTACAATGTAGTGAAGTATAGCTCTTCAACCATACGTGGTGAAAAATATCTTTACTAAAAAAAGCAAGAATAGTGTTATTATGCTAATTTGAATACAAGTCACCAAAATCACTGTTGTCCACGTGTAAGTCTAGTGTAGTGTTTTTTGCCTTCATATCAAGTTCCGGAGCTCAGTCAAGCGGATAGATCAAGCCGTCCGTACACATATATATGCATTGGCAATCATTGTTTTCGTCACTTATGTGTAAAGATCAATACTTTAATACCGCTAAATTGAATTTTTGAAATATACTCAACTAGTAGGTGAAAATTGCTGTCAAAAGTGGGTTTCCTTCTTTTTGCACCACCGTGTAGTGCAGAGCAGTCAAACGCATTCAAAATACATGAAAACCCCAAACTCTGTATTTTTAATTTGCACTTGGTCAGTCGCCAGCTGTGCAGTAGTACTTTTAACCCGTAGTGAAAAAGGATTTAAAGTACTTTTTTCAACGGGAGCCACCTCAGAAAATTACACAGTGGTTTACTCAGCTACCACTTCTGCATAGAAATCACTGCATGTCCGCATGGCATATATGCTCCACTTCCTCCATGGGAACCCTTTGGCATGACACGGATCAACGATCATTGGGCAAGGGCCCAATATATTATTTTGTATCGGTAGAAACGTCGGTTTTCTTGGCATAAAAGATATAAATCAAATTAGGTTTTGCCCTTTACCGACGTTTATATACACTGTATACTCAGTGTATTACCTCCCGAGTGAAATTTGGGGGAAATTACTCGGGTCGGATTCGAACCCACGACCTCATGCTTTCTAGTGCAGACATCTTACCACTCGACCACTGAGCTAACGGGATCGGTTGGCTGGTTCGAATCAGAACTGGTTCGATTCGAACCAGCCAACCGATATAAACGTCGGTGAAGGGCAAAACCTAATTTGATTTACATCACCCCGACGCAAAAATTCCATCTTATGAATGAAAGATACTTTCATACAAATTAGGTTTTTGGCCTTCCCCGACGTTTAAACACTGTATACTCAGTGTGTATACTCAGTGTTACCTCCCGAAGGGCAAAAACCTAATTTGATTTATATCACCCCGACGCAAAATTCCATCATATAATACTTTCATATAGTAGCCTACTACACCACAACAGCAGATGTAAAGGTAGCAGCAATGAAAAGGCACTGTACAAAACAGTAGCATTTAGTGTGAGCCGTGTATACGTGGTATCAACATTACATTGGACGACTGACCCAATATAAATACTGCAAAGTGTTCTTTGATAATTAATTAACACCACGTGTCTTTGCAATTGCGGGTTAATTACCAGCCGTGTTGTACGTGTATCGTACAGCCATCAGTTAGTACCTTAATTTATTAAGAACATGAGATATGACTGAGCAAAAAATGTTATAATTATTACAGATGCCGTTGGTTATATTTTTGCCGAACATGCGCCCCTCCCTTTCTACACGACTGAAAGATACATGCCTATACCGGCACGTAAAATAAAAATAAAAGAACTTACATAAACACTATATATAATACATATTTGTAAATAAAACTCTGCTAAGATAAAGGTCAGGAATCCGAGACTCAAAATATACTTACGGTATCTCTTTAGCCATGCTTGGTTGGTTGGTTGCAGCCTCGACGATGGAACTAATTTTAAGGCCGCAGCTTCCAGATCAACAGACCAACTAACAATTCACACGCAGCCCTCCAGAAATTCCCAGCAAAATTCAATAAAACTCCAACTCGCCAACCGAAAACAACCCGAGACGATTTTCAGAAACAGAAAACCCCTGTTGTGCGCGCGAAAAAGCCAAGGTTTGTTTACGCTTATATGCATGAGCAGGGCGCAGTATAAATGGATACGCTATAGTTTACGCACTAGAAGAGTCAAGTGCAAAGTGCCACACACAGCGATAGCTGATAGGTGTACGTGCACAAAAACATCGCATAGAAAAAATGCATTCATCGGAGAAAAGTCCAAAGCTTACGCAGTGAATGGATTGATTTTCAACGCATTTTTGCACCTGTGCAACGATCTCGTTGTGTGTGTACACAATGAGGCTGCTTTGGTGTCTTTTTGTGTAAAATATGAATGGAAGGAATTCCAGGTCATGTTTTTATTGATTGCAGTAGCTATATTTTCCCGGGGACCTTCTGCAAAATTTTGGAACGGAAGAACAGCAGTGATTTGCCGTGTTTAGGGATGAAACTGAATGATCGCATTTAACTAATAGTCGATATTGGAAAAGATAGATATTGTCGAATGCGTTCCCAAAACATCCCGACCTTTTGTCGAGGCGACAGTGGGGGTAAATTGGATCATCGCACAAAAATATAACCATATTTACATACAGTGGTAGTGAGGAAATCTGGATGTTGGTATATAATGTTTACCCCTCCCCACCGTTAATTGTTACCTTCTTTGGAAGTTTCTTGATTTAGCAGGCAATTGATGCAGGCAAAATTGCACACTGTAGCATAGTATGCCATAAATGCTCAACAGTCACACACGGCATATACTATGCAGGGTTTACATTCTGCCCCGCGGCGAAATCTGAACCCATATTCTTCTTGGCGAACTGGATCTCAGTCATCCACTGAAAAGGAAACACCAATATAGTATAAGCAGAAAGAAATAATCACTCTTTTAAAAAATGCCACAATGCTTTTATATAAGTTTAAAAAAAAGAAGGATTACTCACATTAATGTCATCCATTGGCCTTTACTGCATTCACAGGTGAAAAGTAGTGGTCAGGTTCTACCCGAGCCTTTTCAGACGAAAATGTGTTTCTTACTTTGGACGAAGTCATTTCCAAGTCGATCACATGTCAATCACAAGACCCAAGGAAATGGGATGAAGAACGACAAGGGTTTGAGTGCCTTTAGCAGTATAGTTGAACAGCTTAATCACTTGACTTGAAACTGGATGACTTGCTTTTGACCTGTGATGACTTGGTGTGATACTGTTTGTGTACTTAGTACACCAACAATCTTGACGCCCACTTAATGAGCCAAAGTTGAATAACCGTCTGGAAACTTAGGGAATCCTACGACTTACCTAATAAAGATCATACAGGGGCCACCCTCCCACCCTCTTTTTAGCCTCGCCTCCATCCAACCATCCAAAACCCGACTATGTACTTTTCCAAAGCTAGGACCACAATGATATGGCACACGTGAGTTTTAACAACACTCATAGCCAAATCGGAGTCAAATGACTCGTCAAAGAGAGTAAATGGCCCCTGACTCTTATAAAGAGTAAGTTGACTATAATATAGAGTCAATTTGACTCCCTTCCCAGAGTCGTTGGTGTCAAATGACTCGTCAAACAGGTTAAATAGCCCCTTACTCTCATGAAGAGTAAAGTGGACTATAACACAGAGTCAATTTGACTCCCGTCCAAGAGTCATTGGTGCATGGCCAGCTTCGCAAAGTTTCTATTTTGTTGTTGATGGCGCGTAAAGCGCGTTGCTGCTGTTGTCTGGTCACTAACTCTCCTACATTGAGATCGATACGGCCGGTCTCCAGCCTACGTAGCTATGCTTGCCGCCATCTTGTCACTCTTGCTGCTTACAGTGCTTGGTCGGTGGAGTGAAACTCTGAAAAGTTTTGTAAGTTAAGTCGGAATTCACAGTAATAATTACAAATCATGGATCACAAGATAAAGTATTCGGCACGGTGCCTCCATTTTCACAACAGGCCTTGGGCAAAAGTTTAAGGACGAGTTTTAAAACTAAACTCATGGTGACGAGCCGCTTGACACACTCAAACACAACTAGTATGTATGACGGATTTTATAAACGTCAAAATGTAATCGTTTTTGCTGGACAGCATTATTTGCCTGGCAGGTAAATTTACTTCATTAAACAAGTTGCTACAATGTTTTGCAATAGTCTCCATGACAATAATTTGGTCATTTAGTGCCTTGACTCCACCGAAAAACCACTATGACTCTTTGAGAGAATCACTTAGCCCCATAGGAGAGTCACCCTAGCCCCAAAGGAGAGTCACCTAGGCCCCATAGGAGAGTCACCTAAGCCCCATAGGAGAGTCACCTTAACCCAATAGTAGAGTCACCCTAGCCCCATAGGAGAGTCACATTAAACTCGCAACAGTGAGAGTCCTATGAGAGTCATTGTGACTCTGGAAAAGGAGTAAATATTGAGACTCTTTAACAGAGTCATTTGACTCCAAAAATGGAGTCATTTTTGACATAGTTGCTGGACTCCACTTGAAGAGTAAGCCTGACTCTGATTTGGCTATGAGTGAACCTTTAAAAGGGAGAGGACCAGCGCTTACTTCTTCAGCCAAGATCCTCAGTATCTGACTTACTTGATTTCTTTTCAAGATGGCAGGCTTCGATGTTATATTTTCATGGGAGAGTAAATGTATAGCCGAAGATCCTCGATCATCGAAAGGCTTAAATTCGAACTCCTTCCAAGTTTGTTAGCAGAGAGGTTACAAACACTTGCATCCTCAGCCAATATCCTCAGCATCTGGCTTAATTAACATATACCTTTCCAGGATGGCAGGCTTCATGTGAATTGTTGATGGAAGAACAACGTTGTCCAGCTGAAGAACCTCGATCCTTAAATGGCTTGTGGTCGAACTCCTTTCAACTATATGAGGGGAGAGGTTACTAGCACATGCACCCTCAGCCAAGATCATCAGCATCTGGCTTAATTTATACCTTTTCAAGATGCCAGGCTTCAATATGTGAATTATTGATGGAAGAACAACGCCTCCCAGCTGAAGATTTTCGATCCTTAAATGAGGGGAGAGGTTACTAGCACATACACCCTCAGCCAAGATCCTCCGCATCTGGATTAATTAATATATTTATTTCAGGATGGCAGGCTGCGATGTGAATTTTTGATGGAAGATTAATACCGTTGTCTAGCTGAAGATCCTTGATCGCTGATTGGCTTGTAGTCAAACTCCTTTCAAGTTACCGGCACATGTACCCTCAGCCAAGACCCTCGGCATCTGCAGGCTTAATCTTTTTAGGATGGCAGGCTTCGATATGAATTTTTGAAGGAAGAATATTCGTTGTCTAGCTGAAGATCCTCGATCCTTGGATAGATTGTCATGGAACTCCTTCAAAGTATGTGCGGGGAGAGGTTACTAGCACTTGCACCCTCCAAGATTCTCAGCATCTGGCTTAATTAATATATTTTTTTCAGGATGGCAGGCGTCGATGTGAATTTTTGGATGGAAGATTAGCAGTTGTCTATAGTTGAAGTTCCTCGATCATTTAATGGCTTGTTGAATTCCTTTGAAGTATATGAGGGGAGAGGTTACTAGCACTTGCACCCTTAGCCATGATCCTCAGCATCTGGCTTACTTAATTTTTTACCCCAGATGGCATGTTTGGACGTGAATTTTTGATGAAAGAATAACGGTCCGTGGTCTAGCTGAAGATCCTTGTTCTTGAATGGCTTGCATTCGAAGTCCGTTCAAGTATATGAGGGGAGAGGTTACTAGCACTTGCACCCTCAGCCAAGATCCTCAGCATCTGGCTTCATAAATATATTTCTCCAGGATGGCAGGCTTCGATGTGAATTATTGATGGAAGAATAACGCCGTCCAGCTAAAGATCTTCGATCCTTAAAATGTAATGAGGGGAGAGGTTACAAGCACATTCACCCTCAGCCAAGATCCTCAGCATCTGGCTTAATTTATATATTTATTTCAGGATGGCAGGCTTCGATGTGAATTTTTGATGGAAGGATACCGTTGTCTAGCTGAAGATCTTTGATCTCTGAATGGCTTGTAGTCGGACTCCTTTCAAGTATATAAGGGGAGAGGTTACCGGCACATGTCCCTCAGCCAAGACCCTCGGCATCTGCATGCTATAATAACCTTTTTAGGATGGAAGGCTTCGATATGAATTTTTGATGAAAGAGTATTGGTTGTCTAGCTAAAGATCCTCGATCCTTGGATAGATTGGCGTGGAACTCCTTCAAAGTATATGAGGGGAGAGGTTACTAGCACTTACACCCTCAGCCAATATTATACTCAGCTTATCTGGCTTAATTAATACCTTTTTTAAGATGCCAGGGTTTGATGTGAATTATTGATAGAAGAACAACGCCGTCCAGCTGAAGATCCTCGATCCTGAAATGAGGGGAGAGGTTACAAGCACTTACACCCTCAGCCAAGATCCTTAGCATCTGGCTTAATTAATATATTTATTTCAGGATGACAGGCTGCGATGTGAATTTTTGATTGAAGATTAATACCGTTGTCTAGCTGAAGATCCTTGATCGCTGAATGGCTTGTAGTCGAACTCCTTTCAAGTTACCGGCACATGTACCCTCAGCCAAGACCCTCGGCATCTGCAGGCTTAATCTTTTTAGGATGGCAGGCTTCGATATGAATTTTTGAAGGAAGAATATTCGTTGTCTAGCTGAAGATCCTCGATCCTTGGATAGATTGTCATGGAACTCCTTCAAAGTATGTGAGGGGAGAGGTTACTAGCACTTGCACCCTCCAAGATTCTCAGCATCTGGCTTAATAAATATATTTATTTCAGGATGGCAGGCGTCGATGTGAATTTTTGGATGGAAGATTAGCAGTTGTCTATAGTTGAAGTTCCTCGATCATTTAATGGCTTGTTGAATTCCTTTGAAGTATATGAGGGGAGAGGTTACTAGCACTTGCACCCTTAGCCATGATCCTCAGCATCTGGCTTACTTAATTTTTTACCCCGGATGGCATGTTTGGACGTGAATTTTTGATGAAAGAATAACGGTTCGTGGTCTAGCTGAAGATCCTTGTTCTTGAATGGCTTGCATTCGAAGTCCGTTCAAGTACATGAGGGGAGAGGTTACTAGCACTTGCACCCTCAGCCAAGATCCTCAGCATCTGGCTTCATTAATATATTTCTCCAGGATGGCAGGCTTCGATGTGAACTATTGATGGAAAAATAACCGTTGTCTAGCTGAAGATCCTCGATC